CGCAGTGGCGCTCACCTGTTCCAAACTCAGACCTCACTCTAAGTTTCCTTCTAAGTTTTATACTCTAGCCCAGCTATGCAAGTAAGCATCCTTCCCTCTCCCCCTCCCCTCCTGTTCCCTTCTGTAAGTCCTTTTTTGCCATCACGGCATGGCATCTCCGGGGTGGTAGGTCCCTGCAGGTGCATTCCACAGCAGTCAGGCTGGTCTGTTCCCGTAGGTCATACTGGTGATTAGTACCTAAGGAGCGAAACCTACCTCGGGGCTTAGCCTTGTCTTAATGCTTGCCATTGTTGTATTCTGGTTTTACTCAACCTTACCATTTTAAATCCTAGAATACATATACTTATGGGAACGTGGGGGGTTAAGTTTTTCTAAGTATCATTTCTTAGGCTGGTGCAAAAGTGATTGAGGAGGTGACTCAGCTGTGGACGATGTGCAATGTCCCCAGCAAGCAAGCAGAACCATTAAGCATGGTCAGGCCGACCCCACCAGGAGTCCAGACATCCTCTTATCGCTTGATGACCAAAAACAACAGCTGAATTCTGCGGACCTCCAGGGCTGCTTGTAGCTGCATTCCATTCCCAGCGTCACCGTAGCCCATCCTCCTTTATAATCCTGTCCCCTGCACCTTGCCACAGAACAGGTTTTGGGTGCTTGTAAGCTCCCTGTCTTCTTGGTTGGCTGGTCTTCTCAGTAATGTCTTATATCAGTGTTTCCCAAATTTTTGACATATGTGTACCCCTTCTATAATTTTCGTAACGCTGAGTACCCCTCGTGCTCATGAGAACGTAGAATTAGGCGCAGCTAAGCACGGTGCGGTGCATATCCCCACCAAACTCCGGGGCAATGTGTATCCCCACCAAACTTCCCATACCCCTGGGAGTATGCGTACCACACTTTGCGAAACACTGCCTTACATGATTCGCCTGTGTAATTGCTGATTAGCACTGGTAGCCGTGACATAGCTAGGTAAACACATGTCTATCATAGCAAGTCACTCTCAGTCAGTAATCGAAGTTCAAATCCTCATCTATGGGATACACTCATGCAGGGTAGTAGGGTACGTGTCCTTAATATCACACTTTATGTTTCAGTAAAGTTAACGCAAACATGTTAAATCCTTTTTAGACATTTTAAAATATTTGTGTATATTACTGCAACAGGTCTTGATAAATGTCTTCCTTACTGGTCCCCAGAACAGGATGGCCAACATTTTGAAATTGGTCAAGTAGTGATCAGGTGTGTGCCATCCCATTGTTTCTGAGACCTACTGTGTGTTTCTGAGACCTACTGTGTGTTTCTGAGACCTACTTGATCAACTCTCTACATTCTTGGTGGCCAGGGATGGAAGTTCAGGGCTGAGTTAAAAGTCTCTTTGTTCTTCCCTAGTCAAATGAGAACTGTAACAAATCTTAGCCAGAATGTATGGTTATGATACAGAGTTCCCCAACAATCAAACAATGCAGGAGGAGAGTTTGGAGAGACTTACTTTATTCATCGTGCGATGGGCTTAGAGAAAATGAATTCAAATTCTAAGCAAGGCTACAAGCAGAACTTTTTTTTTATTAAAGAGCCAGCCCTATGTGCATTTAGTGGTTATCTCGATGCTGGCCTTGAAAACAATACAATTCTATCCAATTAAAAAATGCACCTGCCATGGCATTGAGATTGTGGGCATATCTAGTCTCTGGCCTACAAGGTCATACAGCTAAGTTTATCTTCATCATTATTCAAACAGGCTATAGCAGACTAGAAAGCAAACATTTTTTTTTAGAATAAGAGGCCATCTAAAAAAATAGCAGAAAATTCCAAACAGCCATTTTTTACAAAATAAGGGTTTTCCTTCTCAGTTAAACATATATAGCTAACAATCAATTAAGTATTTTGTTAGTAAAAAGGAAGGGGAAGGAAAGAGAAAGGAAGAAAAGAGGGGAAAACAAAATAAAAATAAAAAAACCAATGATTTTGATTCTGCCCTTCTACCCCTATCAGTATGAATCCTTAAATATGATGTTTTTGTCAATACTCGTGATATAGAACAGAGGAGGTAGGACAAACAGATGTTGACCATCTCTTGTCCAGGGGACTTGTCTTGCTCTATGACAATCCAGCTAATCCTTGCTCCTCCCCCACCCATAGGCTACAAATCCAGGTTACCTGGATTTTATTTGTCCCACTTAAACCTTTTAGGGCTGATGTTGGCCACGAAAGCAGCTGCTCCAGAGTTTAGCAAAGGATTCCAACTCAGCCTGCACGCAGTGAGAGGGATAAGGGGAAATCCTTTTCCCAGTGCTGGTTATTCAGCCCACCCACCGTGGGGGAGTGCTATTCATACATTTGTGGCAAAGTTGTCTGCATTTCTGAGTTCACCTCCAGCTTCAATATGTAAACATTTGGTCTAGTCATATGGTAGACATCTTTAGGTCATCCTCAAAATAGATCACCCTGAAAACATTCTGATTTGTTCCAAATTGGCCACAATCTTGGACTCCTGGTATTCTTACAGTCTATGCTATTTCAGACTCTCCATATTCCAGAGAATGCACTGGTTATTAAGAGGTTAAACCTGTGCTGTCCAGTACCATAGCCACAGCCCATGTAGCTACCAAGCACTCGAATAAGACCAGTCCCAATACATACTGAATTTCAAAGACTTAACACATACAGTAAAGAATGTAAAATAGTTTATGAATAATTTGTTTCATAGTGATTGTGTGTTAAAATAACATTTTGGTTACTCGTGCACTGCTGGTGGGAATGCAGACTGGTGCAATCACTGTGGAGAACAGTATGGAGTTTCCTCAAAAAAGTGAAAATGGAACTCCCATTTGACCCAGTAATCCCACTCCTAGGATTATATCCCAAAAAACTAGAAACACCAATCAGAAAGGATATATGCACCCCTATGTTCATAGCAGCACAATCTACAATAGCTAGGATTTGGAAACAGCCTAGGTGCCCATCAGCAGATGATTGGATCAAAAAACTATGGTACATCTACACAATAGAATACTATGCTGCCATAAAAAAGAAGGAATTCTCATCATTTGCAGCAACCTGGATAGAATTGGAGAACATCATACTGAGTGAAATAAGCCAGTCAATGAAAGAGAAACACCACATGGCCTCACTCATTTATGGATAATAAGGAATATTATAAACTGATGAACCAAAAGATAGATATAGAGACAATAAAGTAACAAGCAGACTGTCAAATTACAGCGGGGAGGGTAGGGAGATCTGGGGGAGATAAGAGATCAACCGAAGGACTTGTATACATGCATATAAGTACAACCAATGGACACAAAACTCTGGGGAGGGAGGGTATGTATGGGAAAGGGGAGCAATGTTAAAATATGTACACAGATAATAATTTAATAAAAAATAAAATAAATAAAAATAAAAAAACAGTTAAAAAATAACATTTTGGTTAAATAAAATATATTATTGAAATTAACTTTACCTGTTTTCTCTTTGCCTTTTAAAAATGAGTGGACCACCGTAGCTTGTTTGGCTCACTGGATAGAGCGTCGGTCTGCAGATGGAAGGGTCATGGGTTTGATTCTGGTCAAGGGCATGTACCTCGGTTGCAGGTTCCTTCCATGCATAGTTATTATAATAATATTTACTATATTCCCTATGCTGTATTTTATGTCCCCATGACTATTTTGTAACTATCAATTTGTGCTTCTTGATCCCTTCACCTTTTTCATCAGTCTTACACACCTTTCTAGCCATCATCAAACTGTTCTCTGTATCTGTTTGCTTCTATTTTGTTTTTTAGATTTCACATATAAGTGAAGTCGTATGTCATTTGTCTTTCACTGCTGAATTATTTCACTCAGGACAACACCCTCTAGGTCCATCCATTTTGTTGTAGGTGACAAATTTTTGTTTTCTTATGACTGAGTTATACTTCATTGTATATAAGCACCGTTTCTTCATTCATCTATTGATGGACACTTAGGTTGCTTTCATATCTTGGCTATTGTAAATAATGCTGCAATGAACACATGGGTGCATATGTCTTTTCAATTTAGTGGTTTTGTGTTTCTTTGAATAAATACCCCAAAAATGCAATTGCTGGGTCCTTCTTTGTCTTTTGTTTTAAAGTCTATTTTTAACCACCACATGTGTGGGACCAGCCTGCTTGGTGTCTCTATCCCTCCTACCAGTGTCGATGTAGCTTCTCTTTTATGTCCTTAGTTGCAGGACTTCTGATCAGCTAGACTTCTGGTAGTTCTCAACTACGGCTGCTCTGTAGTTTAATTGTAATTTTAATGTGGTTGGGGAAGACGTAAGTACTGCCTTTGCCTACCCATCATTTTGGCCATGGAACTCATGGTTTCACCCCCTGATTTCCAGGGATGGAGAAGGGCTGGAGGTTGAATCAGTCATCAATGACCACTGAGCTAGTCAATCATGCCTATGTAAAAACCCAAAAGGATGAGTTTCGGAGAGCTTCCAGAATGATACCCAGGGAGGACATGGAAGCTTAGTACCCCTTCCCCATACCTGGTCCTACGAAGCTCTTCCATCTAGCTGTTCCTGAGTTGAATCCTCTTACAATAAACCAGTGACCTAGTAAATAAAATGTTTCTCTAAGTTCTGTGAGCCACTCTAGCAAATGAATCAAACCCAAGGAGGGGGTTATTGGAACATCCAATCGATAGCCCTTAATCTGTAGATGTCTCTAGATAGACAGTGGCAGAATTGAGTGGAATCATAAAACATCCAGTTGGTACCCACGAATTGCTTGATGGTATGGATTCTCCCCCCCGTGCACATTAGAATTGGGTGTCAAACTTTTACAGCTGCAATCAGATGTACCTCTCATACTGCAGTAATAAATGATGCATTTCATTGGGTTTATAGTTCGCCTGGAAGAGTCTACGGCAAAGTGAATAATGGCAGATGAAGCCCCAAACTTACCTCGGCCTCAGCCAAGCAGAGCCCCAGAGTACCCCCAACTGAACTATCCCCTTCTCTCTCTACTCTAGGCCTCAGTGTCCTGCTAACTCTGTCGGGATCGGAAGTGCAGAATTCTGGAGGTGAGTCTGTGATTGTCAAAGGACAGGGAAAGGAAATTGGGGTCTGCAGCCTAACTCCAGAGGAGGGAAGGTGTCCTTTCATTGAGAGAGAATATTAATCCCTGATGTCTTCTGCCCTTTTCTTGGAGCTTCCATTCCTCCACTATCACCATTTTCACCCATTTATTTAGCTCTTGTATTGCACCAGGCTCAATGCTAAGCAAATTGCATGCTCCAACTGATTCAGTCCCCATGACATTCCTGCAAAGATGGTTTTGACATTATCCCTACTTGACCAATGGCCCTCTAGAGAAGTAGCTGACTCAAGGTCACACAGCTGGTGGATGTTGGACTTTGTCCTTTTTCCCCCAAAAGCCTGTGTCCCAAATAATTTTGGGAGATAGTGTTGCCTTTGCCCCATGTCTCATGTTGCCTGCCCCCCTCCCCCCCCAAAAAAAGCAAATTTTGAGCAAATAATTTTTCTGGAAGGTGATCCTAGAAAGCAACATTTGGGAGTGAGAAGTCAGGTTAGAAGGCAAAGAGCCAATATTGGGTCCATTATACAGCAAGTTACATGTGGGCAACTGGAGCGTGATCCCTTGGGGACTGTTGGACATAGTAAGAAATATGAACCTCAAGGCTATCTCCTCCAATTAAACACTAATCCCCTCTTCCCTTCCCCCAGCCCCTGGCACCCTCCATTCTATTTTGTGTCTGTGAATTTGACTCCTAGAGTGACTTTACGCATGGAACCATATAGCATTTGTCCTTTTGTGATGAGCTTATTTACTTATCACAATGTCTCCAAAGTTCTTCCATATTGTAGCGTGTGTTGAAATTTCTTTTTCTGAAAGCTGGATAATATTTTTGTTTGTGGATGGACCACACTTCATTTATCCACTCATCCATTAATGGGCACTTGGGTGGCTTCCATCATTTGGTACTGTGAATAGTGCTGCTAGGAACATATCGATAGGTATACAGATATCTTTTGAAGACCCTGCTTTCAGTTGGGTGGGTTTATTTTTTTATTTTTGTTTTTGTTTTTGCTATAAGCCCATGAGTGAAATTGCTAGGTCATATGGGAATTGTAATTTTTTTGTTTTTGCTTTTTGTTAATCCTCACCTGAAGAAATTTTTCTATTGATTTTTTTTTTTGAGAGTGTGAAAGGGAGGGAGCAGAAAGAGAGAGAAACATCAAGGTGAGAGACACATGGATTGGTTGCCTCCTGTACACACCCCACTGGGGCTGGGGATCAGAACTGCAAACCAGGTATGCACCCTTGACTGGGAATGGAACCAAGACCCTCTGGTGCACGGATGATGCTCTAAACATTGAGAAACACTAGCCAGGGCAGGAATTATAATTTTTAGTTAAGAAACTGCCAAACTGTTTTCCACAAGAGCTGCACCATTTTACATTCCTACCAGCCATGCATTAGCGTTACAATTTTGCCACCTCCTACTCTCTGTTTATTTTTGATAATAAGATAACTGGTTTTATTTTAATGCACTGACTTTTGCCAGTCATTGATTGAGAGGGCTTCTTCTGTGGGGAGAAAGCATTGCTACTGTTACGTGAGAGCAAAGAGGACTATGCTCGCCAAAGATAGCTCCAGGTAAAGAAACACAGGTGCTGGAGAAAAGTTCTACTGTCAAAAAAGTGGTGTTGGTGGCAGAGGTGGGAAGGTTGTTTGGGCACTGTGAGCATGTGTGTTCAGTTGTGGGATGGCTGCAAAAAAGGATGCCAACAGAGCTATTCCCAGGAGTACATTCTTTTGACCAGAGTCTGGGAATCCTAGGTGCTTCCTGAATATTTCTTAGTAAGTGAGTAAACAAATGAATTAAAGGTTCTTGTGTTCTCTGCAGGTTTCTGTCAGACATGCCCTGAAAATGCCAGATGCTTCAACAGAACCCACTGTGCTTGCAAAGATGGGTATCAGTCCAAGTCTGGGAGGAGGTACTTCACTGACTTCAATGAGAAATGTGAAGGTAGGATGCAATCCACATTCATCTTGGCATTTGGAAAGGGGCAGGGACATACTTCTATACCCCATTCCCTGAGTTATGTAGGGATGCTAGTGCTGCAAAGATACAACAATATTACAAGATAGTCCCAGAGTCCTGTAAGATGTCCCTATCCATATACACCCTCCTGCTGTAATTCTGATGCTGGCTTGATGATCCTTGGTTTTTCTTTAGAGGAAGGTTGAGTTCCTAGGACCCTGGGCTCTTGAAGTCTCAGCATTGGTGTTTTTATATGTTGGTTTACTGGAAAACTTTACCAGGGGAGGGATCGTCTCTGTGTTGTTCATTGTGGTATGCCTAGGACTGAGAATAGTGTTGTCACATGGCAGATGTTCAACAAAAACATTGACCAAGACAACAAATAAATACATAAATCAGTATCTTGACACTCACTACCTACCATGGTCTGGCCCCAGCTTAGTGTTCCAATTTCACTCTCACTACTCCCCATCTGCTCCAGCCAAAATTCTTTTTCATTTCCACAAATTCTAACAATCCATTTGAACACTGAAGAGAAATAGCACTCCTGAATACCTGATTGGTGGAACTGAACATCTTATGCATGGAATTAGTGTCAGTGAAGAAGGTGAAGCATACAATGGTAGACTAGGATTTGTTTTACCTTATTGTGGCAAAATATACACAACATAAAATTTTTAGATTTATCTTTTGGTGTCATTAAGTACACTCACAGTGTTGTGCAGCCACTGTCACCATCCGTCCACAGAACTTTCTCATCTTCCCAAACTGAAGCTCTGTTCCCATTAAATACTAACTCCTCATCCTCTCCTCCAGCTGCTGGCTTCCACCATCTACTTTTATATATATATATATATATATATATATTATATATATATATATATATATATATATATATATATATATATATATATAATTGATTTTTTTACAGAGAGGAAGGGAGAGGGATAGAGAGCTACCATCGATGAGAGAGAAACATGGATCAGCTGCCTCCTGCACACTCCCCACTGGGGATGTGCCCACAACCAAGGCACATGCCCCTGACCAGAATCAAACCTGGGACCCTTCAGTCCACAGGCCAACACCCTATCCACTGAGTCAAACCGGCTGCGGCCACCATCTACTTTTTGTGTCTGTTAATTTGTTTCCTCTTAGGGTAGTCCTATGAGTGGAACCACAGTACTGGATATGTCGTCTTCTTCTTCTTCTTCTTCTTCTTCTTCTTCTTCTTCTTCTTCTTTAACTTTTTGTTTTGAAATGGTTTTAGACCTAAATAAAAATTACCAAAACAGCTCAATTAATTCTGTATTTCCTTCCCCCAGTTCCCCTGAGGTTAACCAAGGACATGACCACATACAATGATCAAAATCAGGCAATGATATTAACTAAATACAGACTTTTTCCAAGTTTCATTAGTTCTTCCCCTAATGCCCTTTCTCCCCCCCCCCCCCCCTTGCCTCCCCCTTCCCCCCAGCCCCAGCCTTTTTCTGTTCCAGGAGTCATTTCAGAATCCCACACTGGCTTTGATTTCCGTGATCCTTAGTCTTGTGTAACCTGTGAAATATCCCCAGAGTTCCTTGTCTTCTGGGACCATGACACTTTGATAGGACACCATAGATGCCCTTTTGCACTTTGCTTTTTTAGCTTAAATGTATCCTAGAATTTACTCCAAATCAGTTCATAGAGATCTTCCCCATTTTCTTTTTTTATAGTTTTGAGACGAACCATAGTTTATTCAACCCTCTCCTGGGCATGGGCATTTAAGTTGTTTTGATATTTAGGCTGTTCTAATATTTGTGGAAGTATGTCTTTAAGGTACAGTCCTAGAAGTGAGATGGCTGAGTCAACAGCTAAATCCATATGCAGCTTGATTAGATATTCCAAATTTAATTCCAGAAAAGTTGTACCAATTTGCATTCTCACCAGCAATGCCTGAAAGCGCCTGTCTTTCCACTGGCTCAGCAGAATGTGTTGTCCAATGATTTGACATGTAATGATTATCAGGTTCTAAAGCCCCATATATATATTTAGGTCTATTTCTGGACCTTTAATCTCTTCTACTAGTCTATCTCTTCATACACCAGTATCTCATTGTTATTTTGTTTTTGTGTTAATTTTTACTGAGGATATTTTTTCTATTTATTTGTTTTTTTGTTTGTTTTTTTAGAGAGAGTGTGGGAGGGAAAGGGAGACAAATAGAGAAAGGGAGTGAGAGACATTGATTGGTTGCCTCCTGCATGTGCCTTGATGGAGGCTAGGTATCAAACCTGCAACCCAGATACATGACTTTGACCAGACTTGAACCTGTGGGCAAGCCCTCTAATCAGGGAACACACTGCCAGGGCACTGACTTTGTAGTATGTTTTGATGTCTTGGAAGGCCAATTCCTACCTCATAGTTTTCCTGGCTATTCTTTCATGATAGTAGCAATTCATCTCATTCCATAAAGTACTTGTAGATATTTTTTTTATTGGGATCATATTATATTTGTAAATTAACTTAAGAATTGTCATCTTTATAATATGAAGCTATTTTGTGTGAGAATAGATGTGTATTTATGAATAATACTGGGTAGTAGAGATTCCATGGGCAAGGGAAAATAATATAGTTTTATGAAAATGAAAAATGGTATTTTTCTCTTGATTCACAGATATTGATGAGTGTAAGACCGGGCTGTCAAAGTGCAAGAAGAAAGCATATTGCAAAAATGAAATCGGAAGTTACTACTGCAGCTGTGTCCCAAGTATTCCTGTTTTAAACTGGATGGCTAAAATTTTTAAAATGGACTATGCAGATTGTTATGGTAAGAACCTCCAGTGCTCTCAGTTTGTAGTATTCTGTTACAGCAGCCCTAGGAAATGAATACACTTTACTTCTAATTATTAAGGCATGTAAAATATTTCATGCACCTGGGAAGGCTCAATTAATATTAGCTGTTATGCTACATAACTCTGTTCTAGAACTTTTTGAGTTCCTTTAAATGAGCTAATGTGTATGAAGCCACTTTAGATACCATGCTGTGTAGACAAGGGGAAGTATTATTACTATTTCTATATTATTAATTCAATTAACATCCATTCTCTGCACCCTTGATATTCTGGGGCCTCTTCTGTATACTCCCAAGTCATCTCATTCTATTTGTTAACATCTTGGACCCTTGTAATCAATTAATTGTTTGCCATTATTGGCAGCCTGCAAATTCTAGAAGGGAATTCCCTTTGTCACTATGTCGACCTCTATCCATCAGGTTTAACACTGTGCCCGGCTTTTAGTAATTGCCCAATAAATACTATGGACTGAATGATTGAACTGGAAGCCCCATCCTAATTCTCTTTTTATTTTATTCTATAAGGCTTTTGGGACTTCTTAGCGGGAAACTAGGATAGGATGTAGAAGCAACAAGGAAGGACCCAACTTGAGGGCGCCTGGAAGAAGGGATGTGAGCCAGGGTGTGTTATCTCCCATATTTGATTCAATGACTACTTTTCTTTCCCAGAGGACATTCGTGAGAAGACAGAGCCATCAGAGACCATTTGGGTGAGTAAAGTGAAGCTAATTAGTTTGGGAAACAGCTGATTAGTCTTCCATGTCATTCTTCTGCTCAAATACTACCACAGCTTCCCTATGACTTTTAGGACACAGCACAGGAGTGATTTTGTCCTTTGTCCCAGGAGACAGCATTTGGGGACATTTTTGGTTGGCACAACTATGGTGTTACTGACACTTAGTGAGTGGAGATCAGGGATGTTTCTAAACATCCAATAATGCCCACGGTAACCTCCCACAATTATTATCTGGTCTGAAATGTCAATTGAGACAATTGAGAAACCCTGGCAAAGGTGTCAAAGACCTTCAGCAAACATCTAGAGTCTCATTTCATCCCCTCACCACCTGCCATTCCCTATCTTCCTCCATAAGAAACTTTGTAGATTCCAGATAACTCATTTTTTAAGCCTTCATGTTCTCAAAAATACTATGAAGCTAAGGATACACTCTTCACAGGGCTGCAGTGATAAATGAGAAAAGTCATATCAGATTGACAGCACAGAGCTTAGCTGCACCTTAATAAATGTTATTGTCTTCTGGGCTCGCCCAACCACACTTATGTACATTCCTGCTTTTTTAAAGTTTATGTAAGAGTCTACCTAACTGGCTTTATTTCTTTGAAAGACAATTCTAAAGAAAAATGAAAGCAAACAGTTCATTGCAAAAGAGGTGACCCAACTACTTCAAAACGTGGAATTGACCATATGGAATGACAGTTTTGCTTTTCCAGAAAAGCATGAAAATTCTATATTTGATATAGGTAAGAAACGCTGAGCATTTTTTTTTTTTTTTTTTTTTTTTTTTAGGGGAGGCAGGGGGAGAGGGATATTTTGTCAGACTTTATATTTATATGTCATGGAGAGAGTTAACTCAAGGGATTCTTCCCAAATGCAGAATCCAGGGACTATTTCCTTGGAAATCTCTTGTTATTTTTTTATTTTTAAAAATATATATTTTATTGATTTTTTACAGAGAGGAAGGGAGAGAGACAGAGAGACAGAAACACTGATCAGCTGCCTCCTGCACCCCTCCTCCCCCCACTGAGGATGTGCCCACAACCAAGGTACATGCCCCTGACTGGAATCGAATCTGGGACCTTTCAGTCCACAGGCTGATGCTCTAGCTACTGAGCCAAACCAGTTTCGGCTCCTTGGAAATCTTTTAGATGCTAAGCTTTTTTTGCTAAAGTTTTCCTACTCCCCCCCACCCCCCACCCCACTAAGTCCTTCAGTACACATTTAAAAATTGTTTTTGCCTTTAAATATTTAACCATAGAGCCGAAAACGGTTTGGCTCAGTGGTAGAGCGTTGGTCTGTGGACTGAAAGGTCCCAGGTTCGATTCCGGTCGGGGGCATGTACTTTGGTTGCGGGCACATCTCCGGTGGGGGGTGTGCAGGAGGCAGCTGGTCGATGTTTCTCTCTCATCGACGTTTCTGGCTCTCTATGTCTCTCCCTTCCTCTCTGTAAAAAATCAATAAAAATATATTTAAATATTTAACCATAGAGGTTGAACTTACCCGCCCTAGTTCCAGCTCTGAGTTGGTTGCGCAATGTGTGTTTCTCAGGCAATTTTGACCATTTAATTCCCAACAGCCAGAGAAGTGGGAGGGAGTACCATCTGGTCTACCCAGTATGCAGAAAATGAAATCACCAGGAAGGGGTCTTTCACAGAAGGGGGTCCTTCAGTTCTTTAGGCATGAAAAACGAGCCAAGTAGGACTCATTTTCTTAATGTTTCCAGTCTATGAAACCAAGAGATGCAATGACACAAACGAGAAGACTGTTCTGGAAGCTGGAAATAACACAATGGATATCAACTGCAATGATGCTTTCAAAGGAACCACAAGAGGTACTGTGTCTAAGATGGGTTCCCTTGGCCTTCATATTCTAGGCTGTTGTCTCATGTCTAGGTGACTGGGCCAAGATGTGGGGACTTACAGTATTTTATTCAAATTCCCCAGATGATAAGCCCCCTATAAAGAGATTTCTCTTCTGTTTTCTCAGAGAGTAAAGTTGCATTTATCACTTACCGGTCTCTTGGGGATATTCTGGACGGATCCTTTTTCAGTCATAGAAGAGGAACACTGGACATAAAACTGAACTCTCATATTGTGAGTGGCACCATTGGTGTAAAAGAAAAAGTTTATCTGTCTACACCTGTGTTTCTGACCTTCAAACATACTGAGGTGAGTAAAGCCCAGGGCTGGTTCTCTATGTGTTACCTTAAATGGGTGTCTTATCAGGATCCTGGCAGGTAACCTAATCCAACTCTGATCATCCAGGGTTCAGAGAACTGACAATAAATATTGAGGCCTCCAGAGAAGCTTTTATTTTCACACTAGAGGCCTGATGCACAAAATTCTTGCACTTGTGGTGTGGTGTGTGGTGGGGGGGGGGGGGGGGGAGGGGCAGGACGTGTCCCTCAGCTGGGCCTGCACCCTCTCGCAGCCCAGGAGCTCTTGGGGGATGTCCAAATGATGGTTTAGGAGAGCAGGCTTAAGCTGTCAGTCAGACATCCTTAGCACTGCTGCGGAGGTGAGAAAGGCTCCCGCCACCGCCACTGTGCTTGCCAGCTGTGAGCGTGGCTCAGGGGCTATTGGCTGAGTGGTTCTTTTCCTGTGGGAGCACACTGACCACAGGGGAAGGGGGGGCAGCTCCTGTGTTGAGCATCTGCCCCCTGGAGGTCAATGCATGTCATAGCGACTAGTTGTTCTGCCATTTGGTTGATTTGCATACTAACCTTTTATTATATAGGAAAGATTATGCCTAAAAAGGCAATGGGGGGGTGAGCATTATTGAGCCCAGTGAAGGCTGGAGGCATGGAGGAGGGATTTCCCTGCTGGAGAAAGAAGTATAGAAGAAATACCTGGGCTTCTTTAGCTCTCATCCTATGATCTCTCACTAGTTCCTCTCATTGGTCCTACCAATGACAGGCAACCTGGGTAAAATAGTTCATTAAGGTCAATTCCCAGGACTCTGAGATGACCAGAGCAGGGCAGAGTCAATGAGAATAAAGTCCACACATGTGTGGTATAAAACTCTTCACCACGTGGGCTTTAGATGATGGGGCTTTCACATCCAGTTTCCAACCCAGTGAATCCTTGACCAACCTATGAAGTTAAAATAGTAAAACCAGACAGAAAGCCACTTTTTTCTATTCTCTTTCCAGCCAGGTGGTGCAAGAAGAAAACTCCTGTGTGTGTACTGGAAAGGATCAGAAGAGGGAGGCAGCTGGTCGACGGAGGGCTGCACTCATGTGAGCAGCAATGATTCTTACACCAAATGCAAGTGCTTCCACCTTTCCAGCTTTGCTGTCCTCATGGCTCTTGTTCCTCAGGTACCAAGATTCATGGTCCCTTTCTGTGAATCTGAGTGTGTCCAGAATCTGGGAGGTCATCTGCTCCATGTCTTATAAAAAGACTCTTGAGATGTGGAGTCAAGCAGAAGCAACTTGAGAGGTAGTTCCAGAAGGTACCGGCAGGGGACTAAGGAAGTGAAATGGGAAAAGGGACAGAAACCACACAGAGAGCACTACCAAGCCACTGTGGATAATTGGAGTTTATGTCCCTCTGGAGGACTCTGGAAGTCAGTGTAGTTCATTCTAACTGAATGTGAGAGAGCTGGGGTATTTATACAGCACCTCCCTTCAGTTATTAGTTGAAAGCTACATCCAGGAGATAATAATTCTCTGACACTTTCCATGGGTATGACAGAGTGAGCTCAACTTAGTGGAGGAAGCCCTCAGACATTGGGAAGTTGGGCTGTCAGCTCCTTTGGTAGAAAGGCCCAAGATGATCTGGGATTAAAACAAAAAACAATCAAAAAACAAAACAAAACAAAAAAAACATCTGTTACTCTGCAAGAGAGAGTTATATCTAAACCTTTGTGGTCAGACCAGAAGAAGACAACTGACTGTTACCAGTGAAAAACCAAAGCCCCTTGAATTTCCACCCATATCTAGAATAATTCAGGTTTAAAGAAATTTACCTATCTTCTTCCCCTACTTTTTTTAGCTTCCATTTATTGAATATTTACAGTATGACAATAATTTTATTGCATAATTAACAAAATGGCCTCATTTTTTCATTCACCAAGTTCACATATGATTGCCTGCTATGCATCAGATGCTGTTATAGGCACTGGAACATGACAGACAAAGAAATACTAACTTTCATGGGAACTACTTTTGAGTGCTGTGTTTTCCAATAGAATCACCAGCCACATGTAGTTATTGAGTATGTGAAGTGTGGCTAAAGAACCAAACTTTAAATTTTATTTCATTTTAATTTACTTAAATTAAGAAGCAGTGTGGAGTTCCATTCAAGATGGTGGAGTAGAGGGAGGCTGTGCTCACCTCCTTCTATAAGCACATCAAAATTACAGCTAGATTATAGAACAATCAACCTGGAGGATCATCTGAAGACTAGCTAAACAGAAGTGCTATAGTTAAAGATATAAAGAAGAAGCCACATTGAGACAAGTAGGAGGGACAAAGACAAAGTGGGCTGGCCTCAAACCCATGTGTGGTGGTGAGAATCCATAGGATATCTCAGCTTCTGATGCCCTCCCCGAGGAGTTGAGGGGTCTCAGCCCAATACTGGACTTCCCAGCCTAGAGCACCAGTGCTGCGAAGATAAGCCCATGAAATATCAGGCTGTGAAAATCAGTAAGATTCTGTCTGTCCAAGGTCATACAGGAGGCTGCTTGAAACCTCGTGTCCTCTTAAAGGACCCAGAAAATCTCACTTGTGGGCACTCATCTTGACCTCTGGCAGAGGGACATTGGCTTGGAGCCCACCAGATACATACAGAGAGAAACTGAGTTATGTGGCTTCAGGGTCAGGGTTGGAGGGATGACAGCCATTGTCCCTGTGTTGAACTTACTCCAACATATTTGAACCTGCATTTGCCTGGTGAACTCCACTCACCCCAACATGGGGATTCCCTGGGATCCTACCTCACCCAACTGAAGTACTACCTGAGGCTCTTTCAATGACTGAGCCCTAGGGGCAGCCAGCAGGTGGTGGCAGGTCTTTGTGACTTTTGATCTCTTGCCCCAGGTCTGGTACTGGTAGAAGCTGGCCTCGGTTCTCAGTGTGATCTTTTTCATGTGCATCCAGACCTAACACAGGCAGCTACCAAGCATAGTCACATTGTAGCTCCTAAAAGGAAGCTGTAGGCCAATTATAGGCAGCATCTGACATTGGCCTGCCTGCACCAGAGCCCCTCCCAAAGGGCCCCAGAACCAGCACCCAATTAGCTCCACAAGTGGCACACCCAAAGATGGTCTCAGCAGGCACCAGGATCTGCTGGGGCAAATGCTACTCCACGGGTCAGCCCCTGGAGAGCAGATCTTGTGCTGTGGTTGTGGCCAATCCTCACAGCCAGTGAGCCTGAAAGTCAATTCATCCAATGACATTTCAACAACAATCAAGGCTCAACTTCAATAGGAGGGCACACACAATCTACATAAGGGACACTTGTGGAGCATCTGGCTCAGGTGAACAGAGAAACTGCATCATTGGGCCCCACAGGACACCGATTACATAAGGCCATTTTGCCAAGACTAGGATATGTAGCAGACCTACTTAATACATAGAAACAGACTCGGGCAGTCAAAGGGAGAAGACAAAAAACACGAAAGAACAGGAGAAATTTCCAGAAAAAAAATAATTAAATAAAATTGAGGCAAGCAATCTACCAGAGTTCAAAACATTGGTTATAAAGATGGTCAAAGAACGTAGTGAAAAGTTCCACAAAGAGATAGTAAGCATAAAAACAGAAATAGAAACTATAAAAAAGAACCAGTAAAAAATAAAGACTACAAAAACTGAAATAAAAAGTAGACTTGAAGAATCAACAGCACATTATTATTATTTTTTAATATATATTTTATTGATTTTTTTTTTACAGAGAAAAAGGGAGAAGGATAGAGTTAGAAACATCAAGGAGAAACATCCATCAGCTGCCTCCTGCACACTCCTACTGAGGATGTGCCCACAACCAAGATACATGCCCTTGACTGGAATCAAACCTGGGACCCTTTAGTCTGCAGGCTGATGCTCTATCCACTGAGCCAAATGGTTAGGGATCAACAGCATATTAGATGAAGCTTAGGGTTGAATCAGCAATTTGAAGACAAGGTAGCAGAAAACACCCATTTGGAACAGCAAAAAGAAAAAAAATAATTTAAAATATGAGTATAGTTTAAGGAACTTACTGGGATGACATCAGTTTAGCAACATTTGCATCATAAGGGTACCAGAGGAGAAGAAAGAGAGCAAGGGATTGAAGATCTATTTGAAGACATACAAGTTTAGGAAGTGCAGAGACTTCTAAACAAGATGAAGTCAAAGCACTCCACATCAATGCATGTCAAAATTAAAATGGCAAAGGTTGAAAACAAAGAAAATTTTAAAAGAAGCAAGAGAAAAGCAGTTACTTATCTACAAGGAAGCTCCCATAAGAATGTCAACTGACTTCCCAACAGAAAATTTTCAGCCAGATGGTATTGGTGTGAAATATTCAATAGATAATTTTCCACAGAAGTCATACAGATAGCCAATAGACATATGAAAAGATGCTCAACATCACTAATCATCAGAGAAATGCAAATCACAATGAGATAACACCTCAAACCTGTGAGAATGGCCATCATCAATAAGTGAACAAATAATAAGCATGAGCAATGATACGGAAAAAAGGGAACCATTTTGCACTATTGGTGGGAATGCAAATTGGTGCAGCCATTAGGAAAATAGTATGGAGGTTCCTTAAAAAATTAAAAATAGAACTACTTTATAATTCAGCAATTCTGCCTCTGGGTATTTTTCAAAATATACCCAAAACATTACTTGAATGAGATATTATATATGCATCCTTATGTTCATTACATTATTTACAATAGACAAGATATGGGTGCAACCTAAAAGCCCATCAATAGATGACTATATAAAGAAGATGTGGTACATATATACAACTAGAAGCCTTGTACGTGAAATCGAGTGGCCCCACTCATCCACATGCACAGCTCCGCCCACCCACCATTTGGTCATTACAGCGAGAGGGTGTTAGGGCCACTTGCTTTTTATAATAGAGATGGAATATTACTCGGCCATAAAATAGAAGGAAATTTCACCATTTGTGACAAGGATGGACCTAGAGAGTATTATGCTAAGTGAAATAAGTCAGATAGAGAAAGACAAATACCATATGATTTCATTTATATGTAAAATCTAAAGAACAAAATTAATGACCAAACAAAACAGAAACAAATTCATAGATACAGAGAACAGACTGATAAATGCCAGATGGGAGGGGGTTGAGGGCTGGGTGAAGGGATTGCTATAAATTGGCAGTTACAAAATAGTTAACAGGCATATGAAGTATAACATAGGGAATATAGTCAGTAATACTGTAATAACTACATATGGTTCCAGATGGATACTACCCTGTTTCCTCGAAAATAAGACAGTGTCTTATATTACTTTTTTCTCTCAAAGTTGCGCTAGCTCTTATTTCCAGGGGATGTCTTATCTTTCCATGCGCTAGGTCTTATTTTCGGAGGATGTCTTATTTTCGGGGAAACAGATGTAGAATCATCGTGGGGGGGATCAGTTTTTAAGTTTAAAAAAGTCTAACCAGCTCTGGCTGGTATGCTCAGTGGTTACAGCATCAGCTTCCACACAAAATGTTCATGGATTTGATTCTGGGTCCAGGGCATGTGCCTGGGTTATAGGTTCAATCCCTGGTCCCAGCCCCAGTGGGGTCATATACAGGAGGCAATCAATTGATGTGTCTGTCTCACATTGATGCCTCTCTGTTCTTATATGCCCCTGTTTTAAAGATAAGAACAGCAAGTCACAAGGAGGTTCACTCATTCATCTGAGGGCCTGAGCTAGGAAGCCCATCTGACTCTCCAACTACAGAGTTGGAAACTATAACAGGTCCCTCTTTTGGTGGTTCCTAGGCGGATCTCATTCTAACAGTGATTACCTACGTGGGACTGAGCCTGTCTCTGCTGTGTCTCCTCCTGGCAGCCCTCACTTTCCTCTTGTGCCGATCCATCCAGAACATCAGCACCACCCTCCACCTGCAGCTCTGCATCTGCCTCTTCTTGGCCCACCTCCTCTTCCTCACTGGGATTGATCAAACTGAGCCTGAGGTAGGTGATTTAATCAAATTTCCTTGTTGTAATCAAATCTTGTTTCGAGGAAAGACTGGAAGAGAGGCAATAATCACCTGGGGGGAAATGCAAGAGTCCTGATTTCAGTTCTCTTCCTGTGTAATTTTGGTAAGACCCGTACTTTCTGATGGGCATTGAGCAAAGTGATTGAGAATCAGACTGATGGTATTAGATCGGTTTACAATAGCTGTTGTAACAATTGAACTCCAAAAAGCGGCGGCTTATCACAAGAGTAGTTTACTTCACCTGTATGTATCTGTAGAAGGTGAGCAAACATGTTTGAAGGGTGTCTGTCCTTTAACTAAAACAAGTAGGAGGCTCTTCTAGCTCATACATGGTTTCAAGGTCATCCTGTGGTCCTTTCCATTTTAGCCAACTGAAAAGAGAGAAGAACTTGGTGGAGTCCCATGAGGAAGGTTTTTATGGGCCACCGCAGGAATTGGTTCATATCGCATTCCATGGTCGTACCTAACTGCAAGGCATGCTGGGAAATATCATATCTGGCTGGGGAGTAATTTCTTAGAGACAAATCTATTTTCTGGAACTGAGGGGTGCATTTTTGGTGGACAGTATCTTTACCACACAATCAGCAGTTGTATCTCTACTCACTATACGATCTTATTAAAGTGGCTTCCCCTTTTTAATCTCCCTCTCTAAAACAAGGGCATCAGCATAGGGCTATAGCAAGATAGAATGCAGAGTCTGGATTAATCAACCAGAGAACAACGCTAGCTTTTATTTTTGCCATAGTCACAATCATATCATCACATCCAGGAAGAATTAGTAGCAGATGTTCTCCAAGGCTCCTTTCAACCCTAAAGACTATGATCTCACCTTCACAAGGTTATGAAAGCACTTTTCCCACTCCCCCACCTCCACAAAAGGCAGTACAGTGCTATGGTTAAGAGATAGTATGGCCTCTGCAGACAGTTTGGATTTCAAATACATTTTTTTTTATTAGCTTTGTGTTCTTGAGAGAAATTTTAACTTCCTGGGCCTCAGTTTCTTCATTTCAAAATGGGCAGAAGTTGGCCAACTACAGTGCACAGGCTAATTCTGGACCACAATCTGTTTTTGTAAACAACACTTTATTGGAACCACAATTGCTAATGTCCAAGGGGTAGAGAAAATAGACATCTCAGCTCAAGAAGAGAGAGCGGATTCTCTTTTCCTAGACCTTTTTGTTCTAATTCAGGCTCTTCATGGCTTGGATGATGCCTTATAGGTTAGGGCAATCTTCATTACTTATCTACTGATTCAAATGCTAATCTTCTGGAAACGCCCTCACAAACACACCCAGAAAAGTTTCATCTGCTATCTGGACATCTCTTATCTAAGTCAAGCTAACACATAAAATTAACCATCACAGCCTTCCAAAGGTCAAGAGCAATGGAGCATTTCCCTACCAATACTCATTTGTCAAGAATTTGAGGGCTGTTCTGGTGGCATTCATTCCTTGGTGCTTCTGGCTTGCCCCACACATGGGACAAGCAGACTTCAATGGCCAGTGAAAGGCTCCAGAAAATGTGTTGCTCCAGGCAAAGTGTCACAGGTTCTGGAATTAAAATCCCAGCCAGCAATTGGGAAACCGTTAAGTGCTGAGGATATAATTCAGTACAGACTACATCGGCGCCACATTCCTATATCTTCTCTCCCTTCCAGGTGCTGTGTTCCATCATCGCAGGGGTATTGCATTACCTCTACTTGGCCTCCTTTACCTGGATGCTCCTCGAAGGACTGCATCTCTTTCTCACCGTCAGGAACCTCAAGGTGGCCAACTACACCAGCGCAGGCAGATTCAAGAAGAGGTTCATGTACCCTGCAGGCTATGGGATTCCAGCTCTGATTGTGGCTGTATCTGCAATAGCAGGACACAAAAATTATGGAACATACACTCAGTAAGCATGATGGTAGCGTTTATGGTGGAAGTGGTACCCAAAATACAACTTCATGAAATTCAGGGGCAAGAGAGCAAACAGATGACCCCATATTAATAATCTGTGGTATTATGTTCTGTAGGGTTCTGAAAGAATAGAATGTAAAGAATAATAAGAACAACAAATCTCAAAGTCCCGTGCTATGTCAGAGATAGTGCTTTCTATCTGCAGACTCTCATCGACTCCTCCCATGAGGCTGGCATTGTTTGTCATGTCATGCACAGGACATCTGGGCCTTAGTGCATCTAATAAACACTCTCAAGGTCATGTCTAAAAGAAAATAAGTCAGAATTCCCAAAGCAGTATTTTTAATAGCCATGTTTTGCTGCCTCACTAAAGAAGTTTGCAAAGCCTTGCAAAGTTTGTTGAAGAAGTTAGTATTTTCGCAATGAGGCTTAGGGTAGGAAGTAGGTATGCATGTGCTAAAACAAAAAACAAAACAAACAAACAAACAAACAAACAAAAAAACAAGTAGGAGGCTGTCCTTCTTGAAGCCAGAGAATACCTTATCTCTATCTTGATCCCTAAATCCTGCCAGAATGGTTTTGGAGATAGTAGGGGAGATGGGAGTTGGCAAGTTTTCTATAAAAGGGCCAGATGATAACTGCTTTTTTGTTGTTGTTGTTTTTGTTTTAATCTTTGCAGGCCATGTGGTCTCATGGCAATGACTCAGCATTGCCCTTGTAGTATGAAAACAGCCAAGTCATAGACAATATGTAAATAACTGGGTATGGCTGTGCTTGAATAAAACTTTATTTATAAAAACAAGAGGTAGACTGAATTTGGCCCATGGGTCATAGTTTTACAACCCTTGGAACAGAACTAAGAGTGGGGGCTTTTCTGACCAATGAGAGTTGGTGATTGCTTGATATCTTTGCCAGTCTTGTACTGCCAGGTTCAGAATAAGTTATACTACCAATGCTAACATAAGCCATGACAGAATACAGAGTCTTATGGTAGTTTTAAAAACTACATTTACATTATTATTTTTATTCCTGTTTTACAGCCTTATTGAGATGTAATTGATATACAGAAAGTTATACATATTTAATGAATACATGTTTATGAGTTTGGACATATGCATACACTGTGACACCATCACCACAATCAAGGTAACAAGCATATCCACACCTCCAAAAGCTTCCTGGTCGCACCCAGAACATCAACACTGAACCAATCCACTGATTGTATTCATATGTCTTAAGTCTTACTTGTACTCCTTTGTGTGATTAGTTCTGTACAATTTTATCACAGGTATAGAGGTGTAGTCACTACCAAAGATTACATTCCATATGATTCTCATTATGTAACACTCTTGAAACGACAAAATTATTTTTACTCTCTTTCTTATTATAGTACTTATTATTATAGTACTCACTGTTATTAGGATACCTGCCTTTACTGAGCCTTAATTCCGCCAGAAACTGTATCCAAAAAACTATGTACACATGACCTCATTTCATATTTCCTACAAGATCTATAGGAGGAAAATGATGAAAGGAACCAGAGAAGGCTCAGATAAATGGAGAGGTAGTCCATGTTCATGGGTAGTAAGACTGCCTATCGTCAAGAAGAAGTTAGTTCTTCCCAGCTTGATCTATAGGTTCACAACGCATTCACATTCAAAATCCAAGAAAATTATTTTTTGGACATTTGTCAAACTGGTCCTTATATTTACGTAGTGAGGCCTGGAAGAGTTAACACAATGCTGAAGGAGAAGAACTAAATCACAGAACTGACCCAACCTGACTTCAAGGCTTGGTAGATAGCCACAGTATTCATTTAAATTTTTTAAATACTTCCGTTAGCACCACTTTACACCTGGGAAAACTGAGACTCAGAACATGTAGCCTGTATCAGATGGAGACTCAGGTCTGATTCCATCTAAAATCCAGGTCTGAACTAAACAGCTTCTGTCACTGCTCAGATCTTGTGAGAGGAATTAAACACCTTCTCTTCTGAGAAATAATCGGGGAATCCTTATCTTTCTCTCAACAGCTGCTGGCTCAAGACTGATGAAGGGTTCATCTGGAGCTTCATAGGGCCAGTGGCCATCATTGTCTTGGTAGGTGACCACTGATGGTTATGTTGCCGGGCCCACCAGCTTCGGTTGAACAGTACGTGAAAGTGGGATGAGGATTGAGAAAAGGAGACAAAGAGACAGACAAAAGATGGGATCAGGAGGGCTAACAGTTCAAGACTGCAGCCCCAAGTTTATTTCTCACAGCATATTTATACAGCCCTGATTACTCAAGCATTTGGCAAGCATATGCAATTTTATTATTATACCTGCACAGCTTTTTCCAGTTAACCTTTACAGACTTACCAACTTCCCTTTGACCTGCCTTGTGGCTACAGCCAGCTTCCTTGTTTCTTAGCCATCCTGCTTACTTCCCTTTTCTCACACTCTATGCTGACGGTCTCATAATATCTTGCTTTGTCTGCAAACTGGCAAGCCTCAGAGGGCCAAGGGAGTGGGTGCCAGACAGCCCACCTTGTGAAACACTGTCTTCTCAGGATCTTGTCAAGCCGAGACCGCTCCCCACATCATGTATTGGTGTGCCTGCCCTGGGTTGGCCAAGCATAGGGAGTGTTTGTTATTTGTTAAAGGGGAAATGAGATAAAGATAAGGAGATATAACCTAATGTGACCAACTCTCCCTTACTGGAAATATTGTCTGTATGTGTCTTTCCCTGGCTTCTGCCTTGCTCACTGGTTGCTTTGATATAATATAACAATCTACCAGGCATTCTTCTAAAAAAAAAAATCTACATTCATTTATTCAACAAATATTTAGCAAGTGTCTACTCTGCATAGAGTAACACGTTTTTCTGTTGGTTAGGAACTTTCATTTACATCTATTATCCTGGTATAGATATCCATAGCACTTTTTCTCTTTCAGAGTGTCCAGGTTTGAATGATAAATTATATATTCACTCTGTTCAAGCACCAAGTGCCACAGGTTATATACCTTGTGCTGTTTACAACAGAACATGTGCCTACATTATCCTTATGAAGCCTGTATCTTTTGGGAAAAGAGTCTTAGGTTCATCTCAAGTTGGAATGCATGATATGGCCTCAAAAGGAAATTGCAAGTACATTTTCCATGTTGTTTCCACAGATAAACTTGGTGTTCTACTTCCAAATTCTGTGGATTTTGAGAAGCAAACTTTCCTCCCTCAATAAAGAAGTTTCCACCATTCAGGACACCAGGTAAGAAGTTACCAGAATCAGTGGTTTCCAGATTTTCCTACAGGACAATTCTGCCTGGGAGAGAAAAACCGATACAAAAATGTGCTATAAATTTTCCTGGCACTAGATAAAAAATACATCAGGGACAACTTATAGAAGAAGTAAAAACTACAATTTTCAGGTGATTTCTGAAAGATGAGACAGAGGGCCGAAACCAGGACACGGGCTTTATTAGAGGAGAAGACCCCTGCTGGGCTGCCTCCCACAGGAAGAGAGCACAGGTGCAGGGAAGGAAAGGGATGGGATAGAGCTTAGGGTACTTGGCACACGCTGATTGGTGGTTTCATATAAGGCACATGATTAGGGAGTTAGGAACCAGGGGCTTAGGGTATTTGGCAAGTGCTGATTGGTGGTTCAATGCATAGTCCATAAAAGGTGCCTGGTTAGGTGTTCAGGAATGTCCAGGCCGCAGGTGCAGTTTATCAGTTGGGTGAAGGGAGGATCTAACAATTTCATGTACTCCCTCATCTCTTTATTCAATAAATATTCACTGGGTGCTTCATTTGTGTAGCTCACTCGTCATATAAAATTAATGCCAGGACTATCAACATTAACTTTTTCACCCTGAAAGTTCACCCATTTTGGGATTCCATTCTCCTTGGTTGTAAAAACTCAAGTCTCATTGGTGCTAAACTAAATTATTAAAAATACTGATGACAACAGCTAATATTAACCAGGAACCTGATAGGTGTTGGGCATTTACCAAGATTAGTTCATTGAATGCTCACGATGCCAACCTCTCTGGTGAGCACTACTAATGTCCACACTGATAAGAGGAACAAACTGTTCAGCGTACCCAAGAGCGGGTACAAACTTTGCATTGGTGAGCCATATGGACAAAACTCAAAGGCATTTCTGTCCAACTTCAGATCTTGCCATCAATCCCATGTACGTATGAAATTAACCTAACATTTCAGCCTCAGTTTCTTCAATCCTGGAAGGCAGAAATGTCAGCCTTCTTGGTAGTTTCTCCATCTCTCTCTCTCTCTCTCTCTCTCTCTCTCTCTCTCTCTCTCTCTCTCTCTCTCTCTCTCTCTCTTTCTCCCTTTCTAGCCCATGGTCACCAACAACTCATTCTAGACACAATTTTTGTTTGAAGAAATCCACCGCTGTGTGATGTTCTAAAGCACATGTGTCAAACACAAGGCCCGCGGGCCAAATCCGGCCCGCCAGGCCTTGCAATGTGGCCCGCACCACGCTGTCATCACTGCACTCCGCTGTGTTTCCATCACAATGACAGTTTATGACTGTTCAGTAAACCATTCAGCCCGCGATTTAGGCTGGATTTTAGATTTTGGCCCCTTCTCTGATTGAGTTCGACACCCCTATTCTAAAGTCTTGATATCTTCAACATCCACTTTTTGCAATAGAAATTTCTAGAATGCACTTTCAATCTTCCAATAAGTCCAGGTAAGAGACTTAGCAGGAAAATCATTTCCAAGGGTGGGAGAAAGTGCTATTCTCAGGGGCAATAATTGGAAACATGGGTTCTGCCTCATCCTTATGCTTTGTGCCTTTGCAAAAGCTGCTTAGCCACCTGAGGTTGTTAGGAAGTTTAAAGGTGATGCACTCAAAGCGCTGAGCACAGTGCCCAACAAGCAGTGAGTCCCTGATAAGTGGTAGTACAATAGTTATTACTCTTTTTCCTTTTCAGAGTCATGACATTTAAAGCCATCGCTCAGCTGTTTACCCTGGGCTGTTCTTGGGGCCTTGGTTTTTTTATGGTTGATGAAGTTGGGAAGACAATCGGAACAGTCATTGCCTACATGTTCACCATCATCAATGTCCTGCAGGGCGTTTTACTTTTTGTGGTACACTGTCTCCTTAATCGCCAGGTAAAGTTAATTCCTTTGTCTCTGCGCTTTATTAAACGGCTGTTCATTCCTTGTTCTCTTCTGACCTTTTATATGTCGGGGTTGCCTTGATTCTGAGAAGTTGCTGTTTGAGTTTTCCATGTGCTCTAGGTTTTATTTAGCCTCTTAACATTGATCATTTAAGCAAATCTCTTAAGAACATGCAGTCATCTGCTCAGAGGTCATGTGGCTTAGACAACAGAATTTATCAACCCAGCATTCTGGAGGCTGGAATTCTGAGATCAGGGTGCTACTAATGTCAGGTTCTAGTGAGAGCCCCCAATTGGCTTGCAAATGGCCACCTTCTTGCTGTATCTCACACAGGTGAGATATTGCTAGAGTGCTTCTTTTTATAAGGACAGTAAATCTATTGGATCAGGGCTCTACCCTTATGACCTGATTTAACCTTAATTACTTCCATAATGGCCACAGCTCCAAATAACCACCAGTGGTCCTCATTGGTGGGTAAGAGCTTTAACATGAATTTTGGGGGTGTAGGACACAAACCAGCTCATAGCAGAGCATGTTATCAGTCAGGATAAGGCAGATTATGCTACAATAACTAATAGCCTCCCTCCCCTAATTTCAGTGACTGAAAACAATAAGATTTATTTCTTGCTTATGTTACATAGCTACATGAACTACATTATTTTCGTTTGAGGATGTATGCTGAGGGGACAGCCCCTCTGTAGAACATCAGTGTTCTCATGGCAAAGGGAAAGTGATCATGGCACAGTGGAGCTTAGCTCTCTTTCATTGGCCAAAGCAAGTCACATGGCCAAACCTGAATGCACAAGAGAGAGAATGAATAATTCTCCAGTAGTAAAGTGTACTACACGGCGAGCACAGTTGTTATAGAGTTTCTGAACAATCAAACAATGCAGGAGGAGAGTTTGTAGAGACTTACTTTATTCATCCCGCGATGGGCTTAGAGAAAATGAATTTAAATTCTAAGCAAGGCTATAAGCAGAACTCCTCTTTTTATTAAAGAGCCAGTCCTATGTGCATTTAATGGTTATCTCGATGCTGGCCTTGAAAACAATACAGTTCTATCCAATTAAAAAATGCACCTGGCATGGCATTGAGATTATGGGCATATCTAGTCTCTGGCCTACAAGATCACACAGCTAAGTTTATCTTCATCATTATTCAAACAGGCTAAAACAGACTAGAAAGCAGCAATATTAGAATAAGAGGCCACAGCAGAAAATTCCAAACAGCAGTTTTTTACAAAATAGGGGTTTTCCTTCTCACAGTAATATTTGGCAAAACCTATGATAAACTCAGAAAGACTTTAGTTTTTCCAATGAGTGGGTTGCTGTGTGACCTTGGGCAGACTGCTTCCCTCTCTGAGCTGTGATTTTTCTCATCCAAAAATGTGACAGTACCTCCCTCACAGGGTTGATAATTAAATGAGATAATTCAATATCAATCTCATAGTAATGACCTTGGCTTATACCAAGTTCTCAGTGAATGGCATTATTATAATTTTACTCTTTATAGAAGATTAGGAATGGCTTTCCTGGCTTTTTCTTTCTATATTAGTGAGTGGAACTACCAGCAATTAAGATGCAAGTGACAAAAAGACATTTTAATGGCTCATTAATTTCTCTTCTGTCTGTTAGAGCTATATATATATATATATATATATATATATATATATATATATATATATATGTAAAAGGCTCTAACAACTGAAAGAAGAGATGCAGAGAGTAAACTTATTTTACTCTCCAAGAGAGAAAAGGGTCAAGTATTGCTAGTCAATACCCGGCAGGGAAGAAAGGGTAGTCAGCGATTTTAAGCAGTGGTTGTTTGTTGCTAAGCAACAAGGAAGGGAGGAGGTTTGTGTTGAAGTAGAGCAGATGTGTGTGTGTGTGTGTGTGGGGGGGGGGGGGGTTGTCTTGAAAAGTTACAGTTTGTTTGCTTTCCAGAACACAGTCTAGCAGATGTCCTATCAGTATTTTTCCCAGGAAAAGAATTCCCAATGTAAAACATGTGTAGAACAAAAGTTATGAAGAGTTCAAAAGCGGTCTGTTTGAAGGGGAGGAAGGAAGGGAACTTTCTACTAACTAGAGCACACATATCAAACACAAGGCCCGCGGGCCAAATCCGGCCCGCCAGGCCTTGCAATGTGGCCCGCACCGCGCTGTCATCACTGCACTCCGCTGCGTTCCATCACAATGACGCACGGTGACATAGGAGGCTTGTGATCTCGCCGGCCGCCTCGCCGGCCGCCGTACTTGCTATCTATTACGCATGTGCATAGATAACAAGTCACGTGAGATTCAGGAGGCGTGACCTATAGTCCGGCATCCGATGTGGTTGTGCGGGTGGCAGAGCAGAGGAGAGAGTGAGTGTGCGGGCATAAAAAATACACAGCAGAAGCTGCCAGTTTCTGGCATAAAGTGCAGGCATAAAAATAGCAACAGAATCTGCTATCTGTACCCAGCCAGGCATTTATTGACTGACTTTTTTTCTCCACTCCATCTGCCAAATCAAGCTATCCCTGTGCAGTTTTCAACTTTTTCCTTCTAATGCAGATTTCCAATAAACTACATCTTTTACTGCCAATATTGATCCCAAAATGTCCAAGAAAAGAAAAGTTGATGGTGAAGGCAGACAATTTAATGACAAATGGGAAAATGAATACATGTTTGTGCTTAGAGAGGGCAAACCAGTGTGTATATTGTGTTATGAGACAGTGTCAGTGATGAAAGAGTACAATATACGTCGTCATTTTGACACCAAACATAATGTTAAGTATGGCAAATATACTTTGGAAGAAAAGCATAAAATTGTTAAAGAACTAAAAGGCAAACTACAATCACAGCAGCAAATGTTTACAAAGGCTACAGCAAAAAATGATGCTGCAGTGAAAGCAAGCTTTATAGTGGCTGAAGAAATTGCCCGTACTTCAAGGTGTTTTTCAGAGGGTGCCTTTTTGAAGCATGCTAAAAGTGTGTGAGCAAGTATGCCCAGACCAGATACAGAGTTTTCAAAATGTCAGTTTGTTAAGAAACACCATTGCAGATAGAGTTCAAGAACTCTCAGGAAATCTATCATCACAGCTGGCCGAACAGGCATGCAGTTATCTCGCTTTTTCACTTGCTATCAATGAAAGCACAGACAACACTGATACAGCGCAGCTGTCCATCTTTATACGTGCTACGAAGACCGACCTCTCTGTCACTGAGGAACTTTTGGATGTAGCTGCCATGCATGGGACGACGACTGGTAGAGATATATTTGAGGCTGTGGAGAAATCTATAAATAATTTTAAATTACCCTGGGAAAAGTTGGTGGGGCTAACTACCGATGGCGCACCTTCAATGTGCAGAGAAAAGAAAGGCTTGGTTGGACTAATGAAGGAAAGAATGCAAAAAAGTCACTGCCACACACCCTTGATTACTTATCATTGCATTATCCACCAAGAGGCTATGTGTGGAAAAGTTCTGGACATGAATGACATAATGACCACAGTCATTAAAACTATTAACTTTATACGGGCACGTGGCCTGAATCATCGCCAGTTCCAGCAGTTTTTACAGGAGGTGGGTGCAGAGCATGGAGACGTGCCATACCACACAGAAGTAAGATGGCTGAGCAAGAGCGCAGTCCTCAAAAGATTTTTTGAGCTCAGAGAACAAATTGCTCTTTTCATGGAAAGTAATGGAAAGCCCTTGCCTGAACTGTCGGATCCCGCCTGGCTATGTGATTTTGCTATGATGTGTGACATATGCGAGCATCTCGCCCAACTGAATCTGAAGCTGCAGGGACGCAAACAAGTCATCACGAAGATGTCTGACATGATCACAGCATTCCAGCATAAACTTCAACTATGGAAGTCCCAACTGGAACAGGACAATCTTGCCCACTTTCCCGTTTGTTTGAGTATCTCAACCACTATTTCTGGTACTTTTCCTTGCAGTCGGCTGGCTACCAAAGTTAGCCGTTTACTAAGTGAATTTGAGCGGCGCTTCTCTGACTTTAGAACACAGCACTCAGGCTTTGACATCTTTGCCAATCCTTTTACAGTTGATGTCAACAATGTGCCCCATCACCTTCAGATGGAGATAATCGAGCTTCAGTCTGACAGTGGCCTGAAATCAAGGTTTCAGGATGTTGAAATTGAGGACTTCTACCCTCTACTGCCCCCTGACTCAATGCCAGAGCTCCAACTTCATGCTGCCCATATTCTATCCATGTTTGGGAGCACCTATCTTTGTGAACAGATGTTTTCAATAATGAATCTGAACAAAAACAAGCACAGATCACGCATTACTGATGACAACCTCCATGCTGTTTTGCGGGGTGCTACAGCCCAAGAAATAAAACCAAACATTGACTCATTGATCCGGGGAAAACGGTGTCAGACATCTAGCCAGAAAACAAAACAATGAGCATTTTAGGTACATTCCAATATTACTGTTTTGCTTGATACCAATATTACTGTTTTGCTTGATAGCATGTGAGTTGGTTAACAGCACTGTTAAGGAAAAGATTGTTCCACTCATTTTAAATTCACATTTTTGGTTAACATTGTCAGTTTATGACTGTTCAGTAAACCATTCGGCCCGCGATTTAGGCTGGATTTTAGATTTTGGCCCCTTCTCTGATTGAGTTCGACACCCCTAAACTAGAGGTTCCTTGGTTCAGATTATCCGTGGATTGTGAAAACAGCAGGGAGGAGGGTGATGCAAGATTATAGTCTTTAGAGTATCTTATCTTATTCCACAGTTTGAACAGAGGAACTGTTTGAATCAGAAGAGCCAACCATCTTGGGATTTCAATTTGGTTATAGTAATAGTAATAAGAATAAATACAATATTGAATAAGTATTAAAGTGTGGAATTGAAGTGTGATATCTGAAAGTGTGGAATGTAATGTAAACAGACTGATAAGCACCCTTGAGTGGCCTGTGTGTGGAAATAGATAAAGTGATCTGTACCCCATATGTAAGACCAGATAGCAGGACTCCTGGGACCCTCTGATAAGACACACTGGCCCAAATCAGTTTGGCTCAGTGGATAGAGCGTCGGACTGCGGACTGAAAGGTCCCAGGTTCGATTCCGGTCAGGGGCATGTACGTTGGTTGCGGGCACATCCCCAGTAGGGGGTGTGCAAGAGGCAACTGGTCGATGTTTCTCTCTCATCGACGTTTCTAGCTCTCTATCTCTCTCCCTTCCTCTCTGTAAAAAATCAATAAAATATATTAAAAAAAAAAAAGACACACTGAAGACACCTCTGAGCACTGAAGGCACATAAAAAGAGGAAGCTCCACAGAAGATCAGAGACGTCCTTCTGCTCCTCCACAGAGGGTCGCACTCCACTTTCCCTGCCTGCTCCAGCCAAAAGCTCTGCCTGAGCCTCGAGCCCCTGTTCCAACTCACCCTCAGGTGGGAACATATGCATAGGTGACTGGGGTTCCTCAGGCAGAAACTGGACTTATACGGATTGCCCACAGTTCTTACTGAGTTTGACCGAGCATAAACTAAAAACAAGAGACAAACATTTAAGATGCACGAATCACACCGTTTTTTGTTGTTGTTGTTGTTGTTGTTGTTTTTACCAGAGTCTTGGTGGTTTCCAGAAGCCTAGGCAGGTTACTTGGAGATCCGCGCTTGGACAGGAACGATGCCGGCAGTGCTTCGGTCACAGCTGAGGCCTCAGAGATTTGGCTCACGGGCAGAGTAACAGCACACTCAGGCAGAGCTTCACGCAGTATTGTGAACAGGGAGAGAGGGGAGCGGAGAGAGCACGGCGGGTAGAGGAGCCCTTGTGGTCTCTGACCTGGTGCTTCAGTGTCCCTTCTTTTATGGCCATTTTCCGCTGTGTCATGAGTCTTCAGTGTTTCTAATTGGGGAGGGGGGGGGCGTGTCTCACGGGCAGCATTATCTGATGCTCTGGCACATTGCTACTTGTTTACAACTTTAGAGATTAACACATGTTAGGGTGCTTACAACTTTAAAGATTAGCACCTGTTAGGGCATTCACATAGTTACAGGCTAGTATATTCTTATTGGGGCTTGCAGGCCTGCGACAGCTCTGGGATCAGGAGGGGGTTGCTAGGGCGTTCACATAGTTACTATTCATTCTTAATAAATCAGGTATTGATAAATCAAGTGTTAAATACTAAATGTCGAACACTTCACACAATTATAACGATGTTAAACACACTTTAAATGTTAAACACACTTCACACAATTATAACTATAACAATTATTTATACCATAATCACCACCACCACCACCATCATTATCTTTGCTATCATCATCACCATTATTAACATGATTATATTCACTTTCATTATCACTACCATCATCGTAGTCACCTTCATCATCATCACTACCTTCATTAATTTCATTATTCACATGGTTACAGGCTAGTATATTCTTATTGGGGCTTAATTATTACCCTTATTATCGTAATCATCTCCATCATCACAACCATTATCACTATCACCATCATCACTTTCATTATTATCACCCTATAGAGTCCTTATGGTGCTTCACATTTAGTAAACACCTTTTCTACGACTTAGGAAAGTAAAATTTAAATAAAAAATCAGCCCAGCTGGTGTTTCTCGGTTGTTGAGTGTCGACCTATGAATCAGGAGATCACAATTCCATTCCCAGCCAGGGCACATGCCCAGGTTGCGGGCTCAATCCCAGTAGGGGCATGGATTGAGGCAGCTGATCAATGAATCTCTCTCATTATTGATGTTTCTATCTCTCTGTCCTTCTTCCTTCCTCTCTGAAATAAATAAAAATATACTTAAAATAATCAATATGAGTTTGGTCAAGACTATATAGAAAACCAATGAAAGAGCTGTAGAGAACAGTACCTAGTCTTTAGTCTTCTATTTTAGAATTCTTTTTTTGTCTGAACGAAGCTCTGGATGTAACACAATCCTCTATATTCCTCAAACTTACAGGTGCGAATGGAATACAAGAAATGGTTTATTAGGATGCAGAAAGGTGTTGAAACTGAAAGCACTGAGATCTCTGCTTCTACTACCCACACCAGAATGGTAAGACCAGCTTCTTTGCAATGCTGTGTACTTGTCTGAACCCCACATCTTGTGCGGCCATGAACATTCTCGTTTCTTGATCTGAAAGAAAAGGGAAATTGCATTAGATTCCTGCATTATGAAGCTGAATGTCTGAGTAGAATATGTGGGGTGTTATCCAAGGTGTCCCTTGAGATAAACTTAATCGTGCAGGTATTTGAACATTAAGTAGTTGCTAGCAAAGAGACTACTCTAAGCAAGCAGGACCAACAGAAGGCATTATTATCTGATTTTATATTAATACTAGTGGCTGGGTGCATGAAATTTATGCACTGGGGGGATGGGAAGGACGAGGTTCTGTCAGCCCAGCTTGCACCCTTTCCAATCAGGGACCTTTCAGGGGATGTCTGACTATGGAATAGGCCTAAACAACAGTCAGACATCTCTCTCGCAATCTGGGACTGCTGGCTCCTAACTGCTCACTTGTCTGCCTGCCTGATCACCCCTAACTTCCCTCCCCTTCTGGCCTGATCTCACTCCCAACTGTGCTCCTTTGCCAGCGTGGTTGCCCCAAATGCCCTTCCATGCTGGTCTGATCTCACCCCCAGCGGCCCTCTCCTGCCAGCCTGATCTCACCCCAACTGTCCTCCCCTGCTGGCCTGATCACCCCTAACTGCATCCGCCTCAGCCTTCACCACCATGGCTTTGTCTGGAAGGAAGGTGGACATCTGGAAGATGGCCATTTGAACTGGTCTAATTAGTATATTACCCTTATATTAGTATAGATAGATTATATAGAATAGGGTTGCTTAAATGGGGGTGGGGGTGGGAAAGCCTTTTTCAGCAGGAGGAGATGCTCTTAGCAGACAAAAATACATAATCAATATATCTGGATTGATAGCCAGCCATATGCACTGTACTGTCAAACCAGTCATTAAAAAGTTGAACTGTTTTCTTATATCTTATACCAAATAGCTGTTGCCCTTAAAACCCCTTCTCAGCTCCTAACTTAGGGTCTGCCTTCGCAGTTCACCCAGATTAGGTTCTCATTGGTCAGTTTCTATGCCAGTTAGTGTCAGAAGCTTCGCCTTCTAGGCAGCCATTGACTCCTTACGGTATACCCAGATTTGGTTCTGATTGGTCGGTTTCTATGCCAGACAGCCTGGGCCTGATCAGAGAGGTGGGGCTGATCAGCAGCTTCCGTGGAAACCTGGAAAGAAAGAGAGGTGCAGCTACTGGCCAAGCCCGGAGAGAAAGAGAGAGGCAAGGACTGATCAACAGCTGCCACAGAGGCTTCGGATCAGACCCTGCCTCTCTCTCCGGGCCTGATCCGCAGCCCCTTCAGCAGTGCTGACTGCAAAACTTACTTCCAGTGTTTGGTCAAGCCTTCAGTCATTACAGACCCTGGGTTTTTATATATTAGGATAGTTAAGACTGCTGGAGGAATTACACCACACCCTTAATATGTCACTCTAAAAGTGCTCTCTGAAATTACAGATTCTTTGCTTACCTGTACCTCATTATATGTTATTTATTTTAAAGACATCAAATATTTGGTTTTAGTCAGTCTATACTCTCTGTAAGTTTCATGGTTTAGGCTACTATTGTTTTCCTTTTGGCTGGAGCAATGCCTGGGCCATCAACTTAATTTGTTGTGTCTAAATTTGCTGTTTAAGGATGAGGAAAGAAACACGGGAAGCTCAAATAGTTTGCTTAAAGCTACTCAGCCAGTTAGAGGGATTCTAACACAGGTCTGTTTCCCTCCAAATGTTGACAACTTTCCTTGGTTGCTATTAGAATTGTTATTACTTCCGATGAACAACATTAGGGAACAACTGTTCATAGAACACACAATTTACCCTTAAAGGTAGTTGTGCTATGTGTCCTAACATTACCCTATTTTCACAGTATACACCATTGGCTTCCTTTTGTCCAAAATCACCAGTGGTTAAAGGACATGTCTATCTCAACTGTGAAAATGAAGTGTCCCCCAAAACACATTTAGACACCAAATCATCTCACATGGTGGAATCCATAGCCTAGATTTGGTGTACAGGCCAATGCTCTAACCAGCAAGCAACACTGGCCAGGGCCCCTTATCTTTTTTTAATCCTCACTAGAGGATATGTCTTTATTGATATTTTTACACACACACACACACACACACACACACACACACACACACACTGACATCAATGTCAGAGAGAAACATTGATCAGTTGCCTTCTATACTCACCCTGACTGGGACCAAACCCCAAACCTATGTATATGTCCTGACCTGGAATCAGATCCACAACCTTTTGGTTACTCCAATCACCTGAGCCACCGGCCAGAGCTATAATTTCTTATCTTTGAATAACACTTGCATTCTAAAAAGCACACATTGAACCTTAAAGTCTTCATTACCCTTCTGTAGCATTTAAGGGATTCGTCACTGTTGCTTTTAAATGATGCCAAAAGCCTGGGTTCAAACCCCAACTGTTCCACTTTCAGGCTCTGTGACCTGGCACTGAAAGAGCAGAATAAGGCTATAACAGAACTTCCCTTTTTATTGAAGAGCCAGCCCTTTGTGCACTTAGTGGTTATCTGGATGCTGGCCTTGAAAACAACACAGTTCTATTCAATTGAAAATGCACCTGGCATGGCATTGAGATAATGGGTATATCTAGTCTCTGGCTTACAAGGTCATATAGCTGAGTTTATCTTCAAGCAGGCTAACACAGGCTAGAAAGCAAACATTTTAATTTTATTATTTTATTTTATTTTTAAAAATATATTTTATTGATTTTTTTACAGAGAGGAAGAGAGAGGGATAGAGAGTTAGAAATATCGATAAGAGGCCGGGACTGGTTTGGCTCAATGGATAGAGCGTTGGCTTGGGGACTGAAGGGCCCTGGGTTCGATTCCGGTCAAGGGCATGTACCTTGGTTGCGGGCATATTCCTAGTGGGGAGTGTGCAAGAGGCAGCTGATCAATGACTCCCTCTCATTGATGTTTCTGACTCTCTATTTCTCTCCCTTCCTCTCTGTACAAAAATCAATAAAATATATTTTTTTAAAAAAGAAAGAAATATCGATAAGAGAGAATCATCGATCAGCTGCCTCTTGCACACCCCCTGCTGGGATGTGCCTACAACCAATGTACATGCCCTTGACCAGAATCGAACCCGAGACCCTTCAGTCCGCAGGCCAATGCTCTATCCATTGAGCCAAACCGGTTTCGGCGAAAGCAAACATTTTTAAACAGCAGTTTTTTTTTACAAAATAATTCCAGTTGCCTAACCCACCCTTAAATCAGCCAATAGAAATGCAGAGGGAAGTAACCCGGCGTACCTGGACTCTGGCCCTCACTCCACCAATCGGAACCAGACAACTCAGTGATCCAAGCATCACCCCGCCACCCAGCCCTAAGCCCTATAAAAAGGCTGTGCTTTCGGAACTCGGGGCTCTCTGAACTGTGCTGCTGCACTGATAGGGGCAGAGAAACTGGGCTCGAATTTGAATAAAAGGCTCTTTGTTCTAGAATCGGACTCAGCTCCCTGGTGGTCTTTGGGGACCTCAAAATCTGAGCGTAACAGCACAAGCCACTTAATGTCTGTGCCTCAGTTTCCTCATCCATAAAATGGGAGTAGTAGTACCTATCTCATGAGAATGAAATGAGGTCCTTTGAATTAAGTGCTTAGAATGCTGCCTGGCATACAGTAAGCACTTTTACCTATTTGTAAAAGATGAAATAAACAAAAAGGTCATCTATGATGGTGGTGGGGGTGAGGTGTGGAGCTGCAGAGTCAGATGGTAGGATCTCTTTATTCATCTTTGAACCTTAGTAATTCTATTGTAGTATGTCAGCACCTGCATGCTAGACTTTGTAGTGAATTTCTGAGGTGTGAATTTCTCCTCAGCCTTTTCTCCATGTTATCTCCCCCAAATAGGAGGAGCCAGGGAAGTCATCAGAATTCACCCACCGAAGAGACACTGTGTCTGTCCAATCACAGCCTGGGACTCATCCTGTCACTGTTTTTTGGCAAAGAACAGAACACTGAGCTGCTCACGGACGGCATCCCTAGGTCATATATGGATTGGACAGGCACCATCATCGGTGTGAAAAGGAGTCCTGTCGCCTGCCCCTGTTTTGACTTTTATTGCCACAGACAGAAAGGGGAACATGGGAACATTCTTAGACTAGAACCCAGAATTGCATGTTACGTGCCATTATGTGCTCAAGGAATCCTTTTTAATGACAAGGGAAATGAGTGGCTTTCCCTCTTCCAGCTGTTGCCACCTTGTCCGAGACTAATTGGCCAGCACCTGGGTTCAGCTCACAATCCTCTTGCTTCTCTGTTGCATTTCATGCTTCTAAGGATAGTACATTGCTCAAACATCTGCATAATTCAATACGTAATATCATATGAATACATATTAAAAAGGGGGGTTGCATTCTTGGAATGCAAAAACACCCCCACCTCCCCTTATTGCCCCATCATCACCTGAAGGAGCTTGTGGTCAGGCCACCAGCACTTTTCCTGAAAACAGTTTGAACCATCTGGTTAAAGACAATGTTGTTTTCTTAGTGTCGTCTTGAGCCTGTTCTAGTGTAAGGGCTGCTAAACCAGCATGATGTCTCTCAGTGGGGGTTTGGCCTTATTTATTTATTTATTATTTTTTTTGCCCCTTCTAATTCGTTCTCCAAAGTTACCAGACTTTAGGTGTATTTTTCAACACTAGAATCAATAAGTGCATGAACAATGCTCTTACCCCACATTTTAAAAAACAATTTTAAATTATAACAGTAAATGTTAAAACAGCTAAGAGTCATCATAATTCATTTGAAGAACTTTCACGTGTGATTTTTAGGTTGTGGACAAAAGACTGTGCCCCCTTTCTGCTCAACTCGTTCAATATCCCCGTCACGTGGCAGCGATATAACCGGAGGGTATAATTCACTCCACTGGCTGGCTTTGAAAAAGGGAGAGTAGAAGGGAGGGGGAGAGATAGAGAGAGAGAAACTTTGATGTGAGAAACACATCGACTCCTCTTGAAAAGTTGAAATTTCGGGAGACTCTCCTAGTGTTTTTAAAAATATATATGTTTTTATTGATTTTTAGAGAGAAGAAGGGAGAGGGAGAGAGAGAAACATTGAAACATCGACCTCTACTGGGCGATGCCCTCTACTGGGAATTGAGCCTGAAACCAGGGCATGTGTCCTGGGGGAGGGGGAAGGAGACCAGTCGGTGACCTTTCAGTGCATGGGACAGTGCTCACCCAATTGAGCCACACGGGACAGAGCTCATATGTTTTTGTCTTTTTAATATCATGCAATTTCAAATTTACATAAATAAAACTTGCATAAAACGCACCATTTTCAGGATAGTTTGACACTATGCAAATTTACTGTGTGCATAATCTGCTCATTTAAAACTTCCATTGCTAGCCATTTATCCCAGGGAAACTGTGATAAATTTGATTTATAAATACAGGGTGACCTGACATATAAAGTCAGGGTGATGCGATGTATTCTATCACCCTGAATTATTGGCTGTGATGGGTTGGATGGAAGAAGAGGAGCCTTTTGTACATAAACATGTGACTGTAAGCCTGTGAGTACATTTACAAGTCCACTAGGCTGCCACACTCAAAGAGAAGACAAGCCAGCAGGCTTATCCCTGCCTACCACAAAACTGGAAAACCACATTTGTGTCCCTCAGTCTCTCTGGGGTGCGTGGGGCCATTGCATGGATGCCACACAGTCCCCAGACGCCCTGCACCGCTGAGGAGAAAGAGCATCCATGAGCAAAGGTTTGCTCTGATGCAACAGTTGGGAGCAAACAGGGGCTACAGGCCAAGAAAGACACACAGGCCAGGGCTTTTGTTAGCTCTCATTGCCGCTGAATGGATAGATCAGTTTCTGATTGTTCATTAACTTGTTGAAGGAGAATAAATGAGTGTATGGCAAGCAACAAGTGGCTTGCAGTGTTTTCCATTGCCTCTTCGGATTGACATGTTTTGAATGGGCACTTGGTCGCTAATCATGGCCAAAAATCTCCTACATATAATAATTGGTATTTGGTTTAAACAGATCAGACGCATTCACAATAGTTGACCAGCATGTTGATACACCACTTACCCTCCTACTGTTTCTAGTTCATTGTTGTCATGGAAACAAGGTGTCGATCCATCAGGACTGTTTCAGTAATTAGTGATATATCCATAGAATATAATAACAGGCAATCAAGTTTTTAAATCAAATATTTTATTTATTTATTTTTAATTTTAAATTTTATTTTATTTTTTGTTAATCCTCACCTGAAGATATTTATTCCAGTGATTTTTTAGAGGGAGAGTAGAAGGGAGGGGGAGAGATATAGAGAGAGAAACTTTGATGTGAGAAACACATCGATTGGTTGCCTCTCTAGTATGCCCTGACCAGATCCAGGGATGGAGCCTGTAACCTACAGTAGGTACATGCCCTTGATTGGAATCGAACCCAGGATCCTTCAGTCTGCTGGCCAGTGCTCTATCTACTGAGCCAAACTGGCTAGGGCTGCAGTCAAGTTTTTAAAATGAGGCATATTTTCATGTGTTCTTATAAAAAGACCTCCAAAATGTATGTGTCATCCTATATAATAAAAGCCTAGATGGCATCACGCCCTTGAGCAATGCCCTCACTCAACGCCATCACAAGATGGCCACCACAAGATGGCCACATGCAGAGTGGAGGCGGGGCCTGGTGGAGGAGGCAGGTCTTGGCAGGGAAGGGCAGTTGTGGGTGATCCTGCCATCAGAGGAGCAGTTAGGTGTCAATCAGGCTGGCAGGGGAGTGATTAGGGGCAATCAGGCAGACAGGCAGGTGAGCAGTTAGGACCCAGCAGTCCCTGATTGTGAGAGAGATGTCCGCAGGGATTAGGCCTAAACTGGCAGTTGGACATCCCCTGAGGGGTCCCAGGTAGAGAGGGTGCAGGCAGGGTTGAGAGACAACCCCTCCATGCACAAATTTTGTACACCAGGCCTCTAGTATGAAATCAAACTTGAGTGGTTCAGTGAATAGAGTATAATATATGACCAATAACTGAACACACTCTGCTAGTGGATGGTCCCTGGTTATTTTTTAAGTCAGAAACTCAGGCTCAGGGAGGTGTGTGTGTGTGGAAGGGGAAGGGGCAATCTGCTCTGGGGGTTGGGTCCCCTGGGCTCAGCAAGGAGACACTGATTCTAGGTCAGGGCTCTGGCCACATGTGGTCTCTTTCTTTGAGGCCCCACTACATCACCAAACCAGCTGTGCTTCTGAGGTTCATCCTCCCCTCCACCACTTCCTCCTCATCGCCCAGTGAGATCCTCCTGCTCCAGCAGAGTAACCGAGAGACGGAAAGACAGCCCACTAAGCACTCAGAAGATGCAGAAATTCACCTTTATTCAAAACATGGGTGTTCTGGCTCAGGGAATCAGTTCCCAAAGCTGAGCCCTTCAATTCTGCTGTGAACCTAGTCTTTTATAGCCCCAGGTCAGTGGTCAGCAAACTCATTAGTCAACAGAGCCAAATATCAACAGTACAACGATTGAAATTTCTTTTGAGAGACACATTTTTTAAACTTAAACTTCTTCTAATGCCCCTTCCTCAAAATCGACTCACCCAGGCCATGGCATTTTGTGGAAGAGCCACACTCAAAGGAGACAAAGAGCTGCATGTGGCTCTCGAGCTGCAGTTTTCCGACCACTGCCCTCGGTTCTGTTTCTTGTTTTCGGGTCTTTGTATGGTTTCTAATGTTCTATTTTTTGCTGAAAAGTAGGTTATAACAGACCCCCGGCTGACACCAGCTGCTAACACCTGGGGACTTGGCTTCGGTTCAGAGCCTCTGTGTAAACTTACTGTTCCAGGATGCGGTACAGCAAGCGGGTGGGTGTGTGGGTGGAGGGCGGGGAGGTAGGCTGATTATAGACAAGCAGACATCCTGTTGCTGCAGAGGTTGGATTAAGCTGCCCTTACACTCCCAGTTCAGCACTTCTTGTCCACCGACTTCGACTCTGCAAGGCAGCCCTGGAGCAGCCCCCCTGCCCCCTCTCAGGAATGCTGAACTCCAGGCTAGGTGGTGCACGTGGCTTGATCTTTGGTGCAGGTGGTCCATGCCAGCCGGGCAATGGGAGCAGACGGTTTTCTGGTTCTACCAGAAGCCACCACCTAGAGTTTGTACCACTTACTGAAAGCCTGAGCCTTTGGCATCCAACAGACTGGGGGAGCCCTCAGGGGCTAGAGGCAGAACCAGTGACCCTGGGGAGTCGGAGTCTGAGAGGGAGAATTCTGGGAATACCCACAAAGTGAAAGAATGCCCCCTACCATGATAGAGCAGCACAAGGGAAGGAGGCCAGAATCAAGTGCATGATCAGTTAAGCCCAGCCAACTGTGGGCCCTTGGGTATTGATGGGGTGAGGGAAAGGGGCCTAAGCTCAGGCTGCAGGAAGGTGCCCAGTGACCTGAGGGTGGCCAGGCAGATGTAAAGGGTTCTGTTGTCATTCTGCCACTATCCCCCTCTGCCTAGGGCAGTGGTCGGCAAACTCATTATTCAACAGAGCCAAATATCAACAGTACAAAGATTGAAATTTCTTTTGAGAGCCAAACTTTTTAAACTTAACTAAATAGGTAGGTACATTGTTATTAACTTAATTAGGGTATGTGGTATTTTGTGAAAGAGCCACACTCAAGGGGCCAAATAGCCACACGTGGCTCGCGAGCCGAAGTTTGCTGACCACTGGCCTAGGGGACCAGTTCCCCCCACCTCTCCAGGGACAGGGCAAGGGCTGAGCTGTCAGAGCCACATCCGGTGGGGTCCAAGGGCACACAGTGAAATCCTGATGCAGAGCATGCAGGGGAATAGGTGGGCATGAAGGAGCTGCCCATAGTGGTGGTGGGGAGCAGGGTTTTCTTCCTGCTTCCATGGCCCTGGCGGTCCCTGTCTTCATGATTGAGTAGAAGGAACACCATCAGCAGCTTCTAGTGGCCTTCCCTTTCCTAGCCGATCCTGACCCCTCAAACCTCCCACTGGGTGACGCCAACCCCTGTAGGTGTTCCACACTGGACGGAGCAAAACCCTGAGCCTTGGTCCCAGCTCGCTCTCAACTCTGGCCCCAGGACAGGTGATCCTGGCCGATGTTTGTGGCGTGATCAGTAAGTACACAGGCACTGTTCGCACCCCTCACCTGCAGCAGCATGCTCAGTTCTCACAGGTGGCCTCGGAGGTCTGTAGAGACTCAGAGAAGCCAAGTTACTGGCTCAAGACCACACAGCAGGCTGACCACACGCTTTAGCCCCAGGTCTGCCTGAGCCTGGCGCCATAGTTTTGGGTGTGGTGCTGAGCCACCTCTTGTGGAACTGGCAGGTGAGAGGCCAGCGCCCTGGGAGACCTTGAGGAGAGTGGGGCCAGACCATTCCCAGGAAGAACAGGAGAGGTGACCTGACATCCGCTTGGCACAGGGCAGGCCAAGATCAGGATGCCCATCCGAGCCCGTGGCTCTCACTCTCTCCAGCAGGGCACAGGTCCTAGCACTTGGATGCGCCTTTGGCTTGCCAGCCCCAGGAAGTCGACTCCTCTGGCTGTGGCAGCACCAGACAACTAACAGTAGAGAACAGCTGCTCTGGCTGTGCCAGAGCCCGTGGCGGTTGAGGACAAGGGACGGTCGGATGTTGAGGCAGGCCTTCCAAGGCAGGCCACAGCAGGGGACAGGGGCCAGGCTGCCAGGAGGAGCCCCCAGAGCAGGGGCTCCTGCACCTCAAGGTCCCAGCAGGGGTCCTGAGTGACAGGAGCCTGGTCCTCAGGCCCTGTTGTTAAAGACACTGCTCAAGGGGTTGGGGTCCTGCCTCATTCCCAGGAGTGTAAACATCTAGGTTCCCCGCTTGACCTGTATTAACCCCTCAGCAGTGGGGGGGTGGGAGGAGGGAGGTTCTCCTTAGTGGTAGAGTGGTGGGTTCCAGGGACACCTTGATAGTAGGGACAGTGCTGAGCCAGGCTGAGTCTCTCTTAAACCAATGGGAATGCTGGTCTTTCTATTTATTTATTTATTTATTTATTTATTTATTTTATTTTTTTTTACTTTTTCCTAGGTAAGTTTAAATTTTCTTTTCAGGCACTCCTGAAAGAGCTCCTCTCTGCTCAGGCTCTGGTGGACACCTGCCCGCGCTAGCAGGGATCTCCTGAAAGCCACAAACTCCATTCTGCACCTGTGCAGTAGGTGCCAGCCCATGGGGGAATCAATCAGAAGAGCAAAAACCAGGAACCTCCAAAGTAAAGAGCTCGGACATTAGCTCCCAGCGGGAACCTGCTCAGCAGAGAAATCTATTTGGTGCCCGCTGTGAAGCAGCAGTTCAGGGAGCCGTAGTCCTTATTAGTGCAGGCCCCTCCATGCAACCAGATCTCCTCCTTTCTCTCGCACACCTCATTGTCAGTAAACACTCCACGGACTTTTGCATCTGTTTTGCCTTCCCTCTTGCTTTCTTCCTGGGGGTGAGGGAGGCAAGAACCCCTTTGTTGGGAACAGCATGCCTGCGTTACTAGTGCTCTCAGCTCAGCAAACCACAGCTTGCGAGCCACATGCGGCTCTTTGGCCCCTTGAGTGTGGCTCTTCCACAAAATACCATGTGCGGGCCCGCGCGTACAGTGCGATTGAAGTACTCTACGTTAATAACAATGTACCTACCTTTACAGTTTAACAAATTTGGCTCTCAAAAGAAATTTCAATCGTACTGTTGATTTTTGGCTCTGTTGACTGAGTTTGCCGACCACTGTCTCTCAGGTGACCGCACTGGAGATGGGGTAGGGAGGCGCCCCGGTGCCCTGTGCGCTGGAGAAAGCCTCCTCTGAGGCCACCCAGTGGCGAGAGGGTGGACCTGCTCTTTTCTGATGGGTGGGGGCTCTCCCCAGGGATCCATGTCCTGGCCGCCCAGGCAGTCTTCTCTGACATCACCACCAACCGCCTCCCCACCGGAAGGGGGTTGAGGTGCCTCCATAGAGCCGCCTGGAGGAGGTGGAAGTCTTTGATGGTGTGAGTGAGTGATTTTTTTTTTTTTTAAAACAAATCATCTCTGGTTTCTAGTTCCTGTCTGACTGGCTGATTGCCCTGCCTGCCCTTGTGAGAAGCTGGACAGACAGCTGGCATTTTTTTTTTTAATATATTTTATTGATTTTTCTTACAGAGAGGAAGGGAGAGAGATAGAGAGCTAGAAACGTCGATGACAGAGAAACATCGACCAGCTGCCTCTTGCACACCCCCCACCGGGGATGTGCCCACAACCAATGTACAGGCCCTTGACCGGAATCGAACCTGGGACCTTTCAGTCCGCAGACCGACGCTCTATCCACTGAGCCAAACCGGTTTCGGCAAACAGCTGGCGTCTTAAAATGAGGTCATTCTCATAGTCTGTCAACAATAAAGGGAAAGGTCAGAAGGGAGAAACAGGGCTTCCAACCTAGGTTCAAGCTTCAATTAGTGCCTCTTAAGGATGGAACTGAATAACCTGTGCTGGCCAGCCGCGGGGCGGGGTGTGTGTGTGTGTGTGTGTGTGTGTGTGTGTGACAGCTGTGAATGCGAGCTTTGCAATCAAACAGCCCTGGGTGCAAATGTCAGCTCTGTCCACTAGTTGGCTGTGTGGCCTAGAGAAGTTATTCAGCTTCTCTGAAGCTCATCTGTAAATACAAGAATTGTTCACTAACCATGCTTTGAGCCCCCACACTGTGTAAGTAGCAGTTTCCTATTATTTTTATGATGACTTAGTCACTCTTATTGTTCTTCCCAATTCCTCTGATAGGGACACTGTGGCAGGCTGCAAAATGCCTGCATTACTCTGCTCCGTCTAGCCATCCTTGTAGTGCTGTGGGGGTGGGGGTCGTGCTACTGGACAGGGGAGCAGCAGCAGGGCTCAGGTCATGCATGGGTCATGGGCTTTCTGTTGTGAGCTGACCTGCGACACCATGACCACTGCCCTGGAGACCTTTGCCAGAGGCTTCGGGACTCCTTGACTTGACCTGGGGCTGACGGGGAATCTGCGTTGTGTACCCCCGTGTTAAGGGGAATGGGCCCAGCAGGTGTAGCCTGTAGGATAGCTCCTTCCTGGAAGGGAGGTGACCTGGGGGAGGTGGAGAGGACGTGGCCTGGGCCCTGGAGCCCCTGCCATGCCCTATGCCCGGGGGGCGGGCCGGGCCATGGGAAGGTGCTGTGCTGAGTCCTTTCCTCTGGCTGCCAGAACATGTCGGCAAGCTCGGGAACCTCTATTACTTAGGCTGGTCTTGGCGATATTGCTGCTCTGCTTTGGCAAGGTGTCTGGGCCCCTGCCAGACCAGAGGGTGGCAGGCCCTCCAACCTGGGAGTCAGGGAGGTGGGGCCGGCATCTATGAGGCGATGCCTTACCACGTGGCCACCTTTGGGACCAGGCCTCCAAGGAAATCTTACTCTCATGGAAGGGTGGGGTGGGGAGGCAGGCCGGCCGTGGCTGCCTGTCCCAGGGACCTCTCTGCTGGCTGGGTGGGACTGCTGCTGGGTGGACACCCCCAGGTGGAGAGGGGCTGGCTCCCTGCATTTGGTAGGGGCAGCCCCACCAGGGCCCAGTCTCCGGACATGAGCTGGGAGGCTCTGCGGCTGAAGGTGCTTTAAGCACCGGCCTCTGGTCTCAGCAGCCAGGCTCCTGGGACCTGGTCTTGCCTTGCCCCTTGCCTAAATCTAGACAGTGAGGGGAAAGCAGATGGCAGCCGTGAGCCAACCTCCCATAACCCAGAGAGAAAGGCAAACTGAGCCCCTCTTCCCTGAGGCATAAAGTGAGGCTCGGATATGGCTGACCGTGTGCCCGGGTGGGACTGTGTGTGTGTGTGTGTGTGTGTGTGTGTGTGTGTGGGGGGGGGGGGGGGGGGGGGGGGGGGGGGAGGACCAGGTAACTGGGGTCCACCCTGGGCCTCTTAAAGTTAAAGTTACCTTCATATGATTCCTTTTATGTAGAAAAATATACCTACTAAGGGGAATTTAGTCAAAGACTAAATTATGTCAGCTATTTTAGAGAAAAAGTGGGTAGGTTTGTGTAAAATTCAGATGTACCTTTAAATTTTAAGTTGCAGAAGATCCCGACTGGTAAGAAGTAAAGGTAATACTCAATGAAATGTAATAGACTATATCTAATTGCTTTAGATATATTCAAAACGACCCCCTCTCCCCACCCCCACCCCTCTAGACCTCATTAAAGTGCAGTAGGATGAAGCCAACCAATGGGAGGCTGCCGTTGTGGGGCCAGGTGGGCAGGGGGGTGCCAGGATGGGGGCAGGGTGAATAAAGGTACATCTGAATTTTACACAAACCTACCCACTTTTTCTCTAAAATAGCTGACATAATTTAGTCCTTGACTAAATTCCCCTTAGTGGGTATATTTTTCTACATAAAAGGAATCATATGAAGGTAACTTTAACTTTAAGAGGCCCAGGGTGGACCCCAGTTACCTCCCCACCCTGTCCCCACCCTGCCCCCATCCTAGCACCCCCCTGCCCACCTGGCCCCACAACGGCAGCCTCCCATTGGTTGGCTTCATCCTACTGCACTTTAATGAGGTCTAGAGGGGTGGGGGTGGGGAGAGGGGGGGTCATTGGGTGGCGTGGAGGAGTCTCTGGTGGGAGGGGCCGGGCAAATCAAGGGCCTTGGCACCCCGCTGTGGTCCCAGAGAGGGTGAAGCCCGGGGTCCATGCAGCAGCTGGCCTGCAGGCTGGCGGGTCCGGTTCACGGGGCTGCGGCTGCGGCGTGTGGCGAGCACGGCCAGCTCCGGAGGCTCCTGTCATTTAGGACACAGGACCGCTCTCTTTCATCTTCCTACCTGGCAGGGAAGGGTGGGTGAGTGACAGGGCCCAAACCCAGTGCCATCACCGTGTCTGTCCTCCTCACCCCGCTGGAGGCGCCAGGCGGTCACCAGGCTTTCTGTGCACCGACCCACAGGAGCTCGAGGCCACGAGGATGATGATGCCCGTTTCACAGAGGGGGAAACGGAGGCTCAGGCTTGTGGAGTGTTTTGCCCTTGGGACGGAGCTCGTGTGGCTCAGAGCTGGAGTTAGAACCGAAGACCGGTGACCTCGGAGCCAGGCCTCTTGTCCCCAGCCAAGCTGCCCAGTAGCTCTTTGAAGCTTAGACGTCAGTCCCCAGGGAGGGCGTGCCCGACGGCCCAGTGATCCCAGCGTTCTCTCCGACCTGGGTTCCCGCAGGTCCTGTTGGCTTCTTCCAGAACCTCTTCACCTTACCTCAGCGGAGCAAGTGTGAGTGGGGCTGCGTGGGGGAGGGCTGAGAGGGACCGGCTCCTGGTGGCTGTTGACAGGAGCTGTTTCTGGGCGTGGTTGGGCTGCCGGGGGGCTGCTGGCTGCTCCCAAACCTCTGCCTGGGGGGAGGGCTGCGGGAGGCCTGCAGCGAGGCCAGAGCACAGGCTGCAGCCAGAGGCTGCCAGAGCCCCTGCGTGGGCCTGGCTGGCACCTGCCCAGGGAAGGTTCACGAAGGAAGGAGGCACCCCCTGCCTCCGCGCCCCTGCCCTGCGGCCAGAGCGAAGCTGCCCTTCCTGCAGGTGTCCCAGACCGCCGCCTGGACCTCAAGAGGACTTTGCACAAAATGAAGAGGACGTGTCCCCTCACCCAGCGTCAGGAAGGAGGCACGCAGAGCTGCTTTGCAGGGGACGCTTGGGGGTATGCAGGCCCCACCCCCTTTGGGTGGCCCTCGGGGGGAGCTTCATGTAGGCCTTGAGGCATGGAAGTTCCTTGTCAGCAACAGGGTCTCTCTGCATCCAGTTGAGGTTAAAAGGCTGGGTCACCAGTTCAAGTCTCCCCTTTTCACCTGCCATTTTCAACTTTCCTTTTATAACCCTCACCTGAGGACACGTTTTATTAATTTATTTAGGGAGAGAGGGAGAGAGAAACATTGATGGGTTGCCTCATGTGTGATCAAACCCACAACCTGGGTTTGTGGCCTGACCAGAAATCGAACCCACAATCTTTTGGCGCATGAGATGAAGCTCCAACCAATTGAGCCACCCAACCAGGGCTGAGTTTTTTGTTTTGTTTTTTTTTTTGACATATTGCAGGGAGGGAGGGCTTGGGCCTGTGTTTGTTTCATGCTCCCAGCAGCACGCACAGGCAGCCTGAGACGCTCAGGGCACCTGTGCTGGAAGGGCGGGAAGTGGAGCCCGCAGGGCACTGCTAGCGAGGCGAGCCTGGGCAGGACCACAGCGTGACAGCTGGGACCGGAGGGAGTCCAGGGAGGAAGAAAACCCATCCTGCTTATTCCCTCTTGGTTTCTGGGGAAGGTTCTCCGGCAAACCTTGTTGCCAGAAAAGTCACCTCTTTTTCTCTGAATAAACACCCTGGCTCTGTTAACCTGTACATTTGAGTTCTCTATCAACCTATAAATGACTTGTGAGGTCTTTATAAACAGAGGGATGGGAAGAAGGCCAAGAGGACTCCGAGGGATGAATGTAGTGAGGCCCCAGACCCTCCCAGAGGGAGTCGGCAGCATCTGGAGCTGGAAGGGAGTAGAAAGGTCCCCGTGGAGACCTTCTGAGCCTCAAGAAGGCCCTTAGGTGTAGCTTCCAACATCCCTTTATACAGTCAGGAAACCAGGCCCAGAGTAATGACGGGACCTCCCCAAAGCCACAAGGCAAGTTAATGTTTCGGCTGGAACTAGAATCCAGGTCTGAATTCCAGCCGGCACTCAGCCTGTGATGCCAGATTCATTCTGAAGTCTGATTGCCTCTCGGGAGCATCTAAAGCAAAATGGATTCTGCTCTGGCTGGTGTTTCCCAATGGTTTAGAGCAGTGGCCCCACGCACCAATGAGTCATGGGTTTGATTCTCGGTCAAGGGCACAATCCCAGTCTCAGTTGGGGTGTGCGCAGGAGGCAACCAATTGATATGTGTCTCACATATCGATCTCCCCCCTCCCTCCCTCCCCCCCTCCCTCCCTCCCTCCCTCCCTCCTTCCTTTCCTTCCTTCTTTCCTTCCTCTATAAATCAAGAAAAAAATATCCCTGGGTGAGGACTGACAACAAGCCTGGATACTGCTGGAGATAGGGAGCTCCACGGGGCTCCTGCCTGCAGACAGGAGGCTGGGCCTTGCCTGGGTCTCCCCTCTTACCTGTGGCCAGGGTTCGTGTTGGAAGAGTGGGCAGATTGAGGAAAGGCGGTGGCTTCTTGTACAGATCGAAGTCCTGGTGGCGATGATCCCAACTCCACCTGTCTCGGTCCAGCACAGGCCTCATCACGTTAGCAAATAGTGCGTTTTCCCTCCACTCCTAAATCGGGGACAGCGATTTAGGGAGAAGGCCACCATGGACAACCCCCACTCCTACCCCACACCCCGCTCCTCCCAGGGGACCTCGGTCAGCTGTGTGGTGGCGCCAATGGGCAGCAGGTCGAGGTGGTGGTCGCTCGCGGAGCTCTTATGAAGACCTGTCACCTGGAACCCGTTGGTTGTGAGCCAGGCCTGGCGGGCCTTCTCCTTGGCTTTTCTCTCCTCGTCCTTTGAATCCCAAGGCTCCACCATGGCTGAGAGGAAGTTCTGTGAATACGTGAATCTTCTCCCTGGCTCCTGGAAATGAGGGACAAGCATTTGGATGGAAGTGTGTGTATGTGTGTGTGTGTGTGTGTGTGGAGGGGAGGTGGAGGGGGTGCGGGGGTGGGGAGGGGTGGGAAGCAGGGGTGGGGGCAGACTTGGATGGGGCTGACTCAGCCTCAGGTTTCCAAGCTGGGGTCAGAGACCGCTGAGGGCACAGGGACAGTCTTGACACATGCCCTGAACTGGGCAGTGGCCCTGGGAGTGTCCCAGCAGTGTGCCCGGTGACAGGAGTAGCCCTTGTCTAAATGTGCCACATGCAGAAAGCCTAGTTCTACAGAGAGGAAGGGAGAGGGATATAGAGATAGAAACATCAATGAGAGAGAAACATCAACCAGCTGCCTCTTGCACACCCACCACTGGGGATGTGCCCACAACCAAGGTACATGCCCTTGACAGGAATTGAACCTGGGACCCTTCAGTCTGCAGGCTGACGCTCTATCCACTGAGCCAAACCGGTTTTGGCGGAAGCCTAGTTCTAGACTTAGCCTTGGAGTGATGGCTGCTTTTCAGGGGCAGCCTCCATCTGCTCCCGGATGCGAGGGACCCGCAGTGGTTTGCAGCTGTGAGCATCTGCCATGAGGGCCCCTTGGCTCACCCCTGCACGTGGAGGACTGACATGTAACATGGGAACAGAACACCTTTCTCAGCACCTGGGCCCTGGCTTACTCCCCCTTGCTGGTTGGCTCTCACCCACACACGAGATCTGCTGCTGAGCTCTAGGCAGGATGGTCAGAGCAGAAAGAGTTTATGGGATCAGGCAACGGCCTTTATCCTGCCCAGAGTATAAGCACACTAGAGGCCCAGTGCATGACAATTCATGCACTGGAGAGGGGGATCCCTCAGCCCAGCCTGCCCCCTCTCACAGTCCGGGAGCCTTAAGGGGCAGGAGGCGACCTGGTGATCAGGGAAGGTGACGCCCCCATCACACCTCTGCTGCTGCCACTGCTGGCAGCGCAAGCCTTGGCCAGGCCTGGTTACCTGAGCCTTGGGCAGCTGCGGATGGCTAGGCAGCCGCCATCCAAGGCTTGCTTGCATCTCAGGCTGGCCCTGAGCAACTGGGGGGCTGAGGGATCTGGGGGACTTCAGCAGGGCTGAGGGGACTGGGCACCGCCATCTTATGGCTGTGGGCGCTACCATCTTTGAGGATGTGACAGTCACTTAGCATATTCCCTCCTTATTGACTGTGGGTGCCACCAGCTTTGCAACAGTGTGAGAGCCAATTAGCATATCCCCTCTTTATTAGATAGGATGTCTGCTTCCCACTCTCTGAGCCTCTCACTCACCTTGTTCATCTCATGATACAGCTTCTTCTTGGCCAGCTCTGTGGAGTTCAGGGTCTGAATACTGTAGTTATACACAGCCTCTGTAGGAGGGATTGAGCTTCTAATCAACTTCATCTCGAGCTTTGGTGGCTTCCTGTTCACCTGGCAGGCTTCGGAGATGTTTCTCTGAAGACAGACACACCAGGCGTTATCCGCTCAAGGCCCCTCAGCACCAGCTGCCTGCCCAGAGTAAGTCCTGGAACATGGCTGAGGTGCAGGCCTCCATTCCTGAACATGGGAGCTGGCATTTCCTCACAGAGCCCTGCCCCAAGGCCATCCAGCACGGCCCCTTACTGCTACAGTGGAATTCACTGGACCAGGCACGTGGTACTTGCTCAAGGTCACTGGAACTGGGACACATAGCACTTGGCAGAGTTTACGGCTCAGATGGTGAGGCGTGGGAGAGGCTGGAGGCTTTCACAAAATATTCGGGGAGCCATGAACTAAAGCAACAAGGACCGCTGTCCTTGACTGTGGCTGTATATATGGGGAGTATCACCCTCTTCTCTCCACAGCTTCAGGGTGGTCTATTGGCTTCCTTTGGGAATAAAAACAGCAAGAACCATAGGATTTCACTCCTGTGTGGAATCTAATAAACAAACCGACCTAAAAAGCAACATGGAGACAGACTCATAGACACGAGAGCATGGTGACAGCTGTCTGGAGAGAGTGAGTAGGGTTGTGTGTGTGTGTGTGTGTGTGTGTGTGTGATTGAGTAAAAAGGAAATATATATATATATATATATATAGTATAAAATGAAATGAAATAGAATAAAAATCCAATTCATTTCCAGTTATAAAAATAGTTATGTTGATGTAAAGTATAGCCAATAATATTGCAATAACTGCGTATGATGCCAGATGGGTATTACGTTACACTTAACAGGGCGATCGCTTCTTAAGGTATACAAATGTCTAATTCCTTTGTTATACACCAGAAAGTAGCATGATATTGTATATCAACTATAGTTGAAAAATAAAAACATGGAAAGAAAATAGCAATGAGGAAGGAGATAAAAGGTGAGACAGAAGGTTTCAGAGAGGAAGGTGGCTGGGACCCAAAAGACAAAGAGGGAGAGTTTTACTCTTAATTGTTAAGGGCTGGGCAGCATAGCTTGTCCTTCACTTGCCTAACAACCTTCAGCAAAAGAACTACCTTTTGCTTAAAAACATTTTTTTAACTCAAGAAGGTTAAAAAAAAAAAAAAAGTGACCTCGACTCACTTGTTAGTGTGCACACTCCTAAGGGACGTTTTGTTGTTGCTGTTGTTGTTTTAATAGATATTGGTGTGGGGATGTGGTAGCTGGGTTCATACACAGACCACAAGTGACGACTTTTAGAGTCCTACCTTGGATGCTGTTTTTCTATTTTGGTTGGTGAGGGGGGAAGGAGGTTCTTGTTGGCCAATTAGGCCACATAACAGCCAGCCTCCCATCACCTCACCTGCTTCTCATTCTCATCTCTCTTCCTTTTACCTTTTCCCATGACGATTTAGTTTATCTCCTGTGTTGCTTGGACATGCGATAACACGCCCTTAGCAACTTAAGATGCCACACACACACACACACACACACACACACGACAGTTCTTTCTCAAAGATGAACTCTGAGGCCGAGGTCAAGAGCTTTCCTCTTCGCCTTTCAGGAGGACAGGGTGTGCCAGGCTATGAGTGAAGGCTTTTGGTGTGGGCCAGCCCTGCACCTAGCATGTCTTGCCCAACCCGCCTGGGATCTCGGGACAGGAGAGGAGGTACAGGCCAGAGGCAAATGGCCCATCCAGGAGGTGGCCACCGGTCCTATATCTCCCAGCATGTGATTGGACGGCCCGGGGGTGGGGGGAGGGTGTGCAAAGGCTGGCACCCCTGACCGCAGAGCGGAGAGGGTGCCCACCTGGATCAGATTGCGGCACTCCTCTTTTCTATCCAGGATCATCCGGTTCCGCCAGTGCAGGTACTTGGCCTGGTGGGCGAGGATCTCAGAGTTGAGGGTGGATTTCCGACATCTCAGGTCAAGGGTGGGGGTGTGCTGAGGTGGGTTGTCCAAAAGCTTTTCGTCGGTGAGCTCTTCCAGGGAAATGGGCAAGCCGAACTCCTGGCTCAAGTGCTTGATCATGGAGGAGGAAGGCAGCAGGTCTCGGGTCATCACCTCCCTGAGCGTGGTGCTGTAATGGCAGATGCAGTAGATCCTGGAGCACAGAAGGGCCACCCTCCTCAGTCTCACTTGCCTTGTGAGACAGGTCGGACCATCCCCATTTCACTAGAGGAAAGGACAGCTCAGAGAGGCTGACTAGCTGGCGCTCATGCACTTAGAGAAGGAAAGCATCGGAGAGCTGCCCATCCTCATGCGTCCTTCCTTGTCACCTTAGTGGTAGGAAGGGGCTCTTTTTTTTGGGGGGGGGGGAGGGGCTGCCAGAGGTGAACCTGGGGAGGCTCCCCCCAGCCTGGGGAACACTGGCACCCCCTCTTTGCCGGGACAGCTCAGGCCCGGCCGTGGGGTGCTGGGGAAGATCACAGAAATGGCTCCCTGGGCATGAGGTTCTGTCCCCTTCTCTCTCCTCCCTTTCCTTCGGGAGCAACTTGGACCCAGGGCCGGGCTGCTGGGAGGAGGGCGGGTGGGTGGGGCCCAGACAGCAGGACCCTGAGCTCTCGGCAGCCACTCTTTCCGACTTTCTCCTTTGATCGCCGAGTAAATTCTAAGTGCACAGGCGAGGGGCCGCCAGGCTGCTTCCTTCCGCCCCACACAGGCCGAGTGCATTGCGCCTCACAGCTCACGGCCACTTCCTATTTCTTTCTTTTAAAAAAAAAAAAAAAAAAAAAAAAAATATATATATATATATATATATATATATATATATATATATATATATATATATATTATTGATTTTTTACAGAGAGGAAGGGAGAGAGAGAAGAGAGAAACATCGATGAGAGTCATTGATCAGCTGCCTCTTGCACGCCCCCTACTGGGGATGTGCCCGCAACCAAGGTACATGCTCTTGACAGGAATCGAACCTGAAACCCTTCAGTCCACAGGCCGAGGCTCTATCCACTGAGCCAGACCGGTTTCGGCCGCTTCCTATTTCTTACAAGGACTGAGCCCTCCTTCCCTGGGCCACTCAGTGTCTGGTGAGGGCCTGGCCCCAGTGTTTCCCGTCACTGCAGCCTGGGCCACTGCTTTCTCTGTGCAGCTCCTGCTCGCTCATGGCCTTGCACCTGGAACCGAGTGGTAGTGGGACTGCATCTGTGTCCTTTACGTGGTGAGCTGAGGCTGCCTGGTGCCAACAGCCCTGGGGGACCGAGAAGCGGGGGGGGGGGGGGGGGGGGGGCGGACTACCTGCCATCACTCCCCATGCACGTGTGACCCTCCACCCAGGCACCTTGGAGCCAGGCTGCGAGGGGAAGAAGGCTTGTGTGTTGGGGCACTGAGCTGACTCCTAGAGTCTCTGCCGGGCAGACCTGGGCCTGCAGTGGTCGCGCAGGGTGGTGGGCAGCCACACACACACACACACACACACACACACACACACACACGCCCAGGTTCCCGGCCATGGGTGGTGAGTGGTCCTGTGCCCACTATCCCTCCCCAAACCCTGTGGCAGCTCAGTGCTGTGTCTGTGACCCCCTCCCTGCCCCACACAAGCCTAACCTGGACTATAGATAGATCCTGTGGATTGCTGCTGAGAAGCGGAAATGGTCCTGCCCCCATGCACATGCTGGAACTTCCTGGACAGGGAGGCCTGTGACGGGTGTGGCTGTGCCCCCCGAGCCTGTGCCCGGCACCTCCCCGCTGTCAGTCATCAACGGGGTCCTATCCAGGGGGCAGCTTCAGAGACAGAGTGGACAGAAGGACTAGGGCCATGGACCCAACCAGGGAGGGCAGATACTGGGAGCGCTGGGCCAGCCCGCACTGCAGGCTGTACAACAAGCCCATGACCAGCTCCCTCCCTGCCTGCGGGTACCCCTTCTGAAGCCTTGATCCTCAGAGTCGTGTCCTACCCACAAGCCCATGGGGGTGGGGCAGGCAGCCCAGTCCTCACAATTGCAGTGATCCTCCTCCACTGGCGCCTCCTCCAGCCCTTAGGCCTGGGCATTGTGAGCCTCAGCCGCTAGCCCCTGCTGGCCGCCCACAGCCTCTGCCACTTGTAGCCCTGCCTGCCAGCCTCCCCAGCTGAGTGGCAGAGCCCCTGAGTGCCCAGGCCCCACTGGACGAAGCCCGAGTCTTGTGTTCACACTGTGCTGCCTCCCTAGCATAGTGCCCATCTGGGCACAGTGCTACAGTGTGCCCCCAAATCACTCAGCACCCAACTTCAGTGTCAATTTTCTCTTCTAAACGGGGCCTGTTCCCTTAGCCCTCCTCCTTGGCTGTCACCATCCTCTATGAAGATGGAGGAGCTGTGCCTCGAAACCCTCCAGGGTGAGGAGTGCCCACCTTTCTAGGCCTGGGAGTCACCAGTGCTGGAGCAAAGGGAACTGCCCAGGCCTGAGCCAGCTTCACTCAGTGGATAGGGCATCAGCCTGCAGCCTGAAGGGTCCGGGTCAAGAGCACATACCTCAGTTGCAGGCTCCAGTCCTGGTGGGGGGCATGCGGGAGGCAACCAATCGATGTGTCTCTCTCATATCGGTGTTTCTCTCTGTCTTCCCCTCTCTATTCCACTCAAAAAATCAATGGAAAAAATATCCTCAGGTGAGGACTAGGAAGGAAGGAAGGGAGGAAGAAAAAGAAGGAAGGAAGGCCGAAACTGGTTTGGCTCAGTGGATAGAGCGTTGTCCTGCAGACTGAAAGGTCCCAGGTTCGATTCCGGTTGAGGGCATGTGCCTTGATTGCGGGCACATCCCCAGTGGGGGGTGTGCAGGGGGCAGCTGGTTGATGTCTCTCCTCATGGATGTTTCTAGCTCTCTATCCTTCTCCCTTCCTCTCTGTAAAAAAAAATCAACAAAATATATTTAAAAAAGAAGAAGAAGAAGAAGAAGAAGGAGGAGGAGGAGGAGGAGGAGGAGGAGGAGGAGGAGGAGGAGGAGAAGGAGGAGGAAGAAAGAAAGGAGGGAGAAGCAGACAGAAAAGCCAACATCTGGCTGAGAAAGCTGTTGCTGGCCTGGTGGGTCGAGCGGTCTCCCATCGCTCCCTGGGAAAGTGGGTTTGAGCCAGTTTCTTACACCTTAGGCTATTCTGGGATGCTCTCCAAGCACAGCTGGTAGATTCATGTGACCTGTGTTTGAATGAACTGTCTTCATTTCACCCAGCTGCCTCTCAAGCTCTCTTGGGAGAGCATGTGGAGTAGTGGAAGTGACACAAGCTCGGGGTCCCCTGAGACGGCCCTGCCCACGGTCACCGCCACAGGCAGGCGGGCGGCTGCCAGCCCTGCAGCAGGTGGGCGGTACCTGGTCAGGGCCTGGAAGGCCTTGTGCATCACGGTGTTGCGGAGGTGGAGCGCCACGTGCTTCATGAGCTGTGACAGGGGCTTGCAGAGGTGCATGTGGTACAGGATGGTGTCCAGGTCCGCGTAGAGGCGCTGCTGAAACAGCAGCTGCGAGTTGTAGAGCACCTTGTACTTCCCGTACTCCGCACTGGTGATCCTGCAAGAGACGGCCACAGGACGGGCTCCCAACGCTGCTCCCCGGGCTCTTGCTGTTTTGCTCTGGCTGATGGAGCTTTTATTTTTTATTTTTTATTTTTTTTGCTTGTTTAAAACCTTGAAGGGGAGGCTGGCAGTGAAAATGCTGAAATGCTGATACCAACCTCCTGTTGCTGTGGCCCACTGGTCCTCGCTCAACCTCTACCCTGGCGCTCACCTTGATACGCTGGCTATGCCAGCCTGGCAATCTCTAAACACAGACGCTATGCCCCCCGCTGTGCTTGGCACACGTTGTTCTCACCTTGTTAAACCTTGAAGGCTACACGCGTCCCACACATACAGCTGGTGTGTCTGCGTGTTTTGTCATTGGGCTGCCTCTTTTGTGAAGTATGTATTCAGGTGTTTTGCCCATTTTTTCCATTGGGATATTGTTTTTGTTTTCTTATTGATCCACAGGCATTTTATATGTTCGGCATACTAGCTCCACACATTGCAAATATATTTTTTCTCTCTGTTGGTGGCTTGCGTTTTCACAATTCTTATGGTGTCTTTGCATGAACAGGAGTCACTAATTTTAATGTAGCCAAATGTATCATTATTGTCCTTTATTCTCTGTACTTCTATCTTATTCAAGAAACCTCTCTTTATTCTGAGGTCATGAATATATTCTTTTATTATCATCTAAGACCCTTACACTACCAGGATTCAAAAATAGATTTTTCTGGTGGACTGTGAGTAAGGCCAGGTACCTGTGATCTAATTAATTGTACTAGTTCTGTGTCCACCAATAAGACCCTTTATGTCAGATGTCACCATTGCGAAAAACTGAGTATTTGGTACATGGAACTTCTCTAATATTTTTATGACTTACTATAAGTCTATAATTATTTCAAATAGACTTTTAATCCACCTAGGATCTTTGTAAATTATGTGAACTATCAGTGAATTAGGAAACTATCAGTGAATTAGGAAGAGAGTGGAAGTTCCCCAAATTGGTAAAGGATGTCTATGAAGCCCTACGCCTAACACAATATATAACGGAGAAGACCCCATACCTTCACCAAAGATGTCACTACTCTGATATGAAATAATGCTGCAAGTCCTAGCCAGCACACTAAAGAAGTAAAGGCATATAGTTTAGAAAGAAGACTAAAAACTGAAATTAAAAATATCATACCACTTTAAATGACTAAAAAATAAAGTACTTACATATAAATCTACCAAAACATATACTGAACATGTATGTTTAAAACTATAAAATGCTGTCCAGCTGGCATGGCTCAGTGGTTGGACCATGAGGGCTACCTACTCCAGCTCAGAATCAGACACTTCAGTTGGCTGTACAATGTCCCCATTACATGCTTTTGGAAGGCCTTCAGGGAAGAATTTCCTGTAGCTTTGACAGCTCCTCTAGATTCAAAATATCACATACATCCTACCTCGGGGAGTTAAAATCCATTTCTTTGTGATGCCTACCTTAAGGTAATAAAACACATTCTCCCCCCCACTTTCAATTCACATGGACCAGGGCCATACACAACATTCTGCTCCGCGTTAACCAAGTAGGCCCCCAAGAGTCTGAAGGCCAGACCCCCTTTGAAGGCACAGTCCCCCAAACTACCCCGACTTGTGATAACAACGGAAAGTTCCAGACCCAAAGCACTCTCAAGTTCACTCACTTGCTGGAAGCATTTACAGAGAGCTGTTGTGCTCACACAGCTCATTGCAGGGAAAAGATACATGTTCAAATGAGCCAAAGGAAGCGGTACATATAGCAGGGTCCAGGATGGTTCCTGAACCACCTCTTCTTCTATGTATCCTGAAAGTCTTCCCTTCAACTAAAGGCAACCGATCAGTTCGTCTTGTTATAAAATCCAACCCCTGCGCCCCGAGGAGCACCCTATAATAAACCCCAAGAGGAAAGGAGCGAACATAAGAACAGGGAACCTCAGCTTGGCTTTGTGAGAGCTCTCCCCTCATTCAGCATCCAGATGCCACCTACCGGCTTTGGTGGCTCTCCCACAGCCGCTTCAGGCCTTGCTCAGCCAAGCCTTCCAAGATAAGGAGGTGGATCTTCCCATCCAGCAGGTGGAAGCCGGTGAGCACATCCAGGTCCAGCCTTTCCTGGATCTTCACCCGGATCTTAAAGGCGGACAGGATTTGCTGGATGTTCGTGAGAGGGTAGGAGTCCAGGTCGAGGGCTTTGGCGTTGATCATGATGATGTCCTGCAGCAGGCTGTACAGGAGGGAGATCTTCTTGGTGTCGAATACGAAAACGATGCGGCCAAACTGGGTGCTCATGAGGTCTGGGGTTTCTGCCATGGCCCGCAGAGGCACCGTGATGTCCACTCGCAGCTTGAGCATGGAGTCGGCATCTATGTAGTTGCCCATGGGCATTGGGCCGTTATGGGGATCTCTGGGGACCCTAAACCCCACAACCTTCCTGCTCCTGCCGTCCTCGTCGTGGTGCGTGGGCTTGGACTCACAGCTGTGGATGGGGATAGCCAACTTCAAGTACTTGTGGCCGAGGAGGAGGTCAGCAAAACTTACCCGGGCGACTCCATATGGGTCCCACATCTTGTTTTGGGATTCAAAGGGGTTGTTCTTTGTCTCTTGGGGAGAGACGAAGTCCTGAAAGTTGAGGTATGAATCCAGAGGGTCCTCCCCAAACAGGGTGGGCTTCCGGGAATACGCCTCTGACTTTCGGTCTCGATCATGCACTTCTACCACCATTGGGGGGCCCTCCAGGTATTCCCTCAGGTCATTGGCATTCATTGCCCCAAGGAAAATGACATTGAGGTCCTGGAAGGAGACGTTGTGTCCATGGGGCTGCCCCTCGGTCTGGTGAACCGGAGACTTATGGAACTGATACTTGCAGTACACGGGGGTGCAGAGCCTCTGTGGGAGAGCCGGGGGACAGCACGTCATTGCGCTGCAGTGGCAGCCACCCTGTCTCTCCTCTAAAGGAAGGCTACCGATTGTAGGGGCTCAAGTCCCAGTGCCACCCTCACCTCCCACAGCCCCTGCAGTCTGGGCCTCCTCATCCACAAATACCAATAAGAGAGCCTGCTCTGCAAGGCCATTCCCAGGCCTGAGTGTCATACATGAGCGCGCCAAACTGGTGGCAGGCACAGGAAAGGGCTCAAAAGTTTACTCACTACTTCTTCCTCCCAAATTGTGAATGCCATGGAGACAGGCCATAGACCCTTTTCACATCTATATTTCTATGTCTCAGGTCAAGGTCAGGCAAAAAAAAAAAAAAAAGGTGGACACAAGTGAACCAGACATATATCTGGAGTTGGCACAGGCTCATCTTTACCATATGAAGCATTCATGTGGGAAGCTGGGACAAGGGGAAGAACGGTTCGGAGAGCTTTGGGGCTTGTGAGGGGTTGGAAAATGAAATGGAAAAGAGGGCAGAGCTGTGTTGAGCCAGGAAATAGGGAGTCTTTGCATATGTTCACTGTGGTAATAAAAAATGAATTTTTATAAAAGTTGTGACCTGAATTCATATTCAAAGTGTCCTATTTATTTTACACAGATGTTGGAATTTATTTTAAAACAGTGCTGGGGTTGGCAGAGCTCCCAGGTATCTAGAAGAAGGACTTGAGAAACCTTTCTGCAGAAACCCACTTTCAACCTATGCCTCAAAGAACTCCCACAGAGAAAGGTCCACCGAACCTGAGGTCGTAGCAAAAAATCACAAAACACCTCAGGGGAACATGGTCCTATGAGCCAAAACAAGTGCACAAAGGCCTAAGGTATACTAATAATCAGACACATAAAACACACATCACATTTAAAAAATTAAAAACATCATCATGGTCAAAGCTATCAGAGTTCTATTTACCAGCCATGAATCATTTAAAAACAAAAACAATTTAAACATCACCTTCAATAGAAAAGTCTTTAAAAAATGCTTAAGAGAAAATAAAATGGAAGGTGTATAAAACATATACACTGAAAACTATAAAACATTGCAGACAGAAATAAAGTCTACATAGTGAAATATACCATTTTCATGGTCAGGAAAATGGAGTTAATTCTAGATGAATCACAGACCCAAACATAAAAGCTGAAATTATATGTCTTCTAGAAGTAAACATTAGAGAGTATCTCCATGAACTAAAGTGGGAAAAGATTTATTTGACAGGACACAAAAAGCACTAGTCATAACAGGAAAAGTTGATAAAATGGACATCATCAAAGATACTAATTGCCAAAACCGGTTTGCCTTAGTGGATAGAGCATCGGCCTGCGGACTGAAGGGTCCCAGGTTCGATTCCAGTCAAGGGCATGTACCTTGGTTGTGGGCACATCCCCTGGTGATTTTCTTTTCCAGAGTCTTTTGATCACTTTGTAAATTATATAAATGTCTAATCACCCTTTTGTACATCTAAAACTAATATAATATTGTATGTCAATACTGTAATTGAAAAATACATTTAAAAAGTAAAACCCTGGAGAATTATCAAATTAAAATATATAGCTGAATGGATTACCCATGTTTACACAAAAAAGACAAAGATATCCTATATAATAAAAGGATAATATGCAAATCAACCAAATGGTGGAACAACCGGTTGCTCAATGCAGGAGCTGCCCCCGGTGATCAGTGTGCTCCCATAGGGGGAGCACCTCTCAGCCAGAAGCTGGGCTCATGTCTGGGGAGCACAGCAGTGGTGGTGGGAACCTCTCCTGCCTCCATGGCAGTCAGACATCCCCCAAGAGCTCCTAGACTACGAGAGAGTGCAGGCTGGGCTGAGGGCCCCCCTCCCCACTCAGTGCACAAACTTCACACACCAGGCCTCTAGTAACAAGTACAAAGGAATAAATAAGAGGAAATGGAGGAGAATGGGATTAGATCTAACGTATGACTAACTGTTGTTTCACAACACCATGACAAATACAACAGCAGAAAGGTGAAAACGGAAAAGATAAGGATAGAGAATTTAAGAACACATCAAAGACACGAATCCTTAGGCTGAAGAAGCATAAGCATATCTCGCATCCTTTAACCTTTTCTCAAAAAGCTACAGGAGGATGAGCTCCAGCATAATCTGGGAGCAAACAAAGCAAGAGAATCCAGGGACAGGGCGCCCACCAAGAGAGGGGAAAGTGAATTTGCAAGACAAACAGCAGCGCTAAACCTGGCTGGTTCAAGATATAGCTGATCAAGTTACAGCTGATCAATGCTGCTGTAACAAGGAAGTCTCGGGCTCCTTCCGAAGGCAGGATCACTGCCCCCATTGGAAGAACAACCATGGGAGACCTCAAGACTTGGAAGCTCCTAACCCCAGAAGCCCAATCTCTTTCATGCCTGGCTGTGAGATCCTAAATGGCGAAAAGGGGGTGATTACCCACCTCATGGGGCAGTGGCTGGGGAAAGGAGCTCTCCTGTCAGTTCATCTGGCTCATTCTTACCTCTAGTTCCTCGAAGGGCACAGGTTGCGATGGGAGGCAGGAAACACCTTTGATCTTTATGATCAGGGGGTTTAAGTCCTGCTTTTGCTCCTCTGTCATGATGGGAACTTCCGTTTTTAAAGTCAAAAAACAGTCTAAAATGTTGGCAGACATTTTACTGCCATGGCTCACGACAGTTTGCCATCCTAGTGGGGGGGGGGGTGAGGGGGGGGGGAAGACACACACAGCATTAAACTGTTACTCATGACATTCCAAAGACAAGCACAGAGGGATGAGGCAAGCTAAGAAGAGTCAATAATGAAAAAAAGAAATCTTAAAAAAAACACATACAAAAGAATTGGAAAACATATGCAGACAGCATGTTACACACCAGTTCCTCAAACGGAGTTCCCATAAGTTCTCTCAGAGAATTTAATTTTCTAAATTTAATCTTGATGGTCATCTAGTAATATAAGTAGGTCCTGAATCCCTTCTCAGCTTCAATAAGGAATACAGCTAGATACTTCCCTGTTTCCCCGAAAATAAGACAATGTCTTATATTAAATTTTGCTCCTAAAGATGCCCTAGGTTTTATTTTCAGGGGATGTCTTATTTTTCCATGAAGAATAATACAGTACACATTTATTGTTAAATGAAAATAAAGGAAATTTATTACTTGTATACGGTAGGGTAGTACAGTAGTTGTCAACACAAACCAGACAAGCTGTGAATCCTACAGTATCAAGAATTTACTCATTTATTCAATGACAATCATGTCATCATCTTCTGGAACATCATCATAACAATCCAATCCATTTCTTTCAGAATCAGTGGACCAAATCTCTCATGATTAGCCTGGGGGGGGGGGCCTTAGTTTCAGGGGGATGCCTTATATTTCACTCAGAAGGAAACCTGTAAGTAGGTCTTATTTTCAGAGGATGTCTTATTTTCGGGGAAACATGGTAGGTGCAACCCATGACAGTCTGATGTAGTTGGCCTTCACACTGCGATTTTAAAAAGCTCCCCAGGGCATTCAGAACCACCATCCTAAACTTGTGCTGTCTCATACAATAGTTACTGGCTGTGTATGGCTCCTTAAATTTAAATGAAATAAAATTATTATTATTATTTTTGTTCTTTTACACTAATTTAAAAGGGAGTTTCTTCTTCACGAGTCACGTTTCAAATGCTTAGGAGCCACGTGTGGCTACGAGCCATGGGATTGGACAACGCAGATATCAGACACCCATCACTGTAGAAAGCTTTGCTGGAAAGCTTTCACGCTAATGTCTATTTTGGGGGTCCATCGGAGTCACTTTAACTGCTTTGGTCCAATGAGAAAGCATCGATATTGGCGCACAACATAACGGATGCATTTGAATCAGGCCACGCGGGCACGCCTCCCACTGTGCAGGTTTCACAATGGTAAAACTAGCACAAAGGGCAGGTGCATCGAGCCAGGCAAGGCTCACTGAGAGCTGGGAGAGTGCTTTTCTCATAGAAGGTGCCCATTCACTTCACCAGGTGGGGAGGTCCTGGTGGAGGGAAAATGGCAAAAAGTTGCACTTCGTCAAGCAGCGAGGCTGGGTTTAAACCCTATGTCTGACTCTTGGTAGTCACATGACCCACAACAAGTTAGTGGCTCAGTTTACTCTCATGCAAAATGATACCACAGATGTCACCTTAGTGTGCTGCATGTGAAGGTGCCAGGAACACTGCCCAGCACGTAGTACATGTTTAAAAAAACTCAGTTCTATTCCTTTCAAATGCTTGTAATTATATTGCTAGGGCAAATAAACCCCGGCCACTGGTGCTCAGAAGAGTAGGCACTTCCAAAACAGGCCACGGGCCCGCATGGCAGCTGTCTGCCGAGGCGGTGGGCGTCTCCTGGGGGCGACCCTCCCTGTTCCCAAGTGATTCTCTTCAATAAAGCCAGCTCATGTAGGACATGACAAATTATGATTTGTGTTTTAGCAGTTTGGAAACCCTTTCCTAGAAAAGATTACCCAGTTTAGGAAGAAAAAAAAATCTCCAAAACAAACACGGAGTGGAATCATCACTGAGACGTTTAGGGAGGTGTCAGCCATAATTGCAGGGTAGGGCATCCCAACCTCAGTGCTACAGACATGGAGGACAGATCATTCTTTCTAGGGAGGACAGTTAACAGGCCAAAAGCATCTGGCTCCTGTTTGTGACAATCAAAAATGCTTCCACACATGCTCTGGCTGGTTTTGCTCAGTGGATAGAGCGTCGGCCTGAGGACTGAAGGGTCCCAGGTTCAATTCCAGTCAAGGACATGTACCTTGATTGCACGCACATCCCTAGTAGGGGGCATGCAGGAGAGAGCTGATCGATGTTTCTAACTCTCTATCCCGCTCCCTTCCTCTCTGTAAAAAAATCAATAAAATATATATTTTTAAAAATGCCTCCACACAATGCCAAACCTCCCCTGGGGGGCACCAGTGCCCACTGTTCCCGGATAAGGGGGAAGGGCATGGGAAGGGACTGTGTGTGGTTTGTGCACCTACAACTGCTAGACTGGAACATGTGTCAATGCCACGTAATCCTCAAACAATACTGTGCGATTGCTGTCAGCTCACCTGGACAGATGAGGAACCTGAGGCCCACAGATGTTATGTCATTGTCCAAGGTCTCTCGGCTAATATGTGTTGGAACCTGTGTACACAACAGCCCTGCTTGGCTAAGATGGGCCCCTCCAAAATGCAATGAAAATAAGAGTTTATTTCAAACTCAGAGTCTTTCTAGCATCTTTCTGGGTTACTAGCTGGCCAACATTTACCACCAACGTCTGCAAACTCTTGGGCTATTTGGAAACTGAAGACAATGACTACACACAATCATGCTGGTTTTGGAGTAGATCTGATGCCACTACAGCAAACACACACACACACACACACACACACACACACACACACTCGGCCTGCCGAGCCAGGACCGGTCTGTTTATCGTCATCAACCATGATGTCAGCGGGAGGGAGGAGGCTATCTCTCTGTTTTCTTTGCTGGAGCCCTGCCCAGTGTCCTGACAGAAGCACCTGCCACCTCCACGCCAGCAGCGTTTCTGTGTCCTGCTGTGAGCACGGACTTTTAGCCACATTGGGCAGAGGCCAGAAATGAGCAGGCAGAGGAGGGGGCAAGGTAGGAGGGTAGGGGAGGGTACCTGCAAGGAGCGGCATTATTGCCAGCTGGACAGAGAAGGCACCCTGTTTCCAGTGCTCTGACAGCTTGACGGCAGAATCATCTTCTGGTTGGTATTTCTTCCTCTTTCGCCGTCTTCTCTTTACCATATCTGACTCTTTCCATTTCACTGAAATCACAGGAGGGCATAAGCGGTCAGAGGAACTCGCATTTCAGCTGCCACACTGGGACACCATCAATTCTCTCAGAGGTTTGGGAAGGTTCTGGGAGCTTCTTGAAGGCAGGGGTTGTTCTTGGTGCTGCCGCTCCTTCCAAGCAGCCAGGTGAGGTGTCTACATGTGGGTAAGCTGACCACTTGCCAGTCACATGCAGGGAGAATTGAGGGGGGTCCTGCATCTCCTCCTGCTACAGCCTGAGGACATGGGCAGGAGGGGCTGGAGTTACCATGAGCTATTGGTTCCATTGTGTAGAAGCCAATGGAATGGACGAGAAAGCCCAGAGCTAGATCCACAGACATAAGGGACTTAATAGATGCTCCTCCCAAAGAAATAGTTGGTATTCCTGAAATGCTCCATTTGAAACATTCACAAAGAGAAAAATGAATAAAGGTTAAAAAAAAAAAATCAGGGACCAGAGAGACCTAAGAATCTATTGAATGGACCTAAATGTAAAGAAATTAAAACTAAAGCATTGCATTTCTCTAACCCATGTTTCTCAAATATCAATATGCACATGAATTACCTGGGGATTTTGTTAAATAAAATACAGATTATGGTTTAGTAAGCCTGGGGTGAGCCTGAGCCTCCACATTTCCAACAAGTAATGCTGGTGCTACTGGGCTGCGGACCACACTTGTACTATCCATTTCTAACCAACTAGAAAATACAGGGTGGGCAAAAGTAGGTTTACAGTTGTTCATATGGAAAATAATACATAATTAATAAATAATACCACAAGAATAAACTGTGCTTTCATACTCACAACTGCCAACCTTCTCTTGCCTCCTTTTGCCCACCCTGTATGATAGGAAATAATATATATATATTTTTTTTTAATAAAAGTAACTGGAATCCTAAAATATCCAGGAATTCATTTACAGGAATTATCCACAATGCCTATAGGAAGAAAAACAAAAACTAACTCTATTAATAAAGACATAAAGGAGGACCTGAATTAGGTGAAATGATACAGCATGATCAGGGATGGGAGGACTTCTCTATGTAAAAATGTCAATTCCTCCCAAATTAATCTCTAATTTAATGCAAAACACATTTTTAATATTGAGATTTTTAAATGACAGTTTGTCTTGGTTGTACCCATCACATCCCCCCAAGCCAGCAGCTGGGCCTCCATTCTACCCATGGTCCCCACAGCATCCACGGAAACTCCTTCTCAGGCCCCTCCCAGGCTCCAGGAGGCTCCAAGAGCTACCACACGCTCAGCCAGCAGGGCTGTGGGCTCAGTGATCTGAGGTATGGGTTGGGATCACACTCCCAAGATTCCCAAGAATTCTGCTTTTAGAACTTGGTGCAAATTACTTTAACCAGTCGGTCACTTTGTGTAGAAAATAGAGATAGCAATACCTTCTCACAGTGATCGTTATGGATATTACATGAGATAAAGTAACGTGTGCCAGAGTGCAGTGTCGGATGTAAAACATGCTCAGAAACACAAGCTCTCCCTTAATTTCACCTGGATTGCGTGAGCCCCCTAGTAACTGAATTTAAAAATCTACATGGCTCAGCCTCAGCTGTTTTGGTTCAATGGATAGAGCATTGGCCAGTGGACTGAAGGGTCTTGGGTTTGATTCTGGTCAAGGGCACATGCCCAGGTTGCAGGCTCAACCCCCAGGGTGGGGCATGCATAGGTCAGCTGATCAACGATTCTTTCTCATCATTGATGTTTCTATCTCTATCTCTTTCTCCCTTCCTCTCTGTAATCAGTAAAAATATGTTAAGAAAAATTTGTATGGCTAACGGTGGGAGTCTGAAGGACTAGTACAAGACAGGGCTCCACTGCCACTTCCCAAACACCATGGGTCCTTTTTTATTCAACTGTGGCAAGGTCCCATCTGAGTAGCTTTTCGTCCCCTGGGTATTCTTGGGAAGAGCTCCAGGCACCACTGGGTGAGACCTGGGAATATTTATTAGCAAATGCCTCCCAAAATCTTCTCCCAAACTGTTCACCAGGAAATGAGGGTCCTTTTCACGTTTTATAATGCCAGCCTCAGACAGAAGGTCTGTAGGTGATGAGCACAAGTAAAAAGATTTGTCAATAATAAAGGAGTAAATGATTGAATTATGCAAACTAATTATAATTATTCGGACAAATGAAGGCAAGAGGGGGCCTCCATTTGTTTATACAGTACCCCACAAAGAAAAGGAAACAAGAAGAAATGCCTGTTATCTATTCAGCTGTCTACCTCCCACTGTTTACATTAGAAAATACTTAATACACATGTGGCTTCCTAAGTTCCCACCTATAGGGAATGAGTAAGCAAATTGCAGCAATGCCAGCAGATGAGATATGATTTAGTCCCCACAAATAGAGTTTATGGAAGGTTCTGAAGGACATTGGAAAGTGCATGTAATGACACATTAAGTCCAGGATAACTTAATCTATGTCAAAAAAAAAAATCTTAGAGAAAGGCTATGATAAACCAAAATATTACCATGCTTGTTCCTAGTGATGGAATTAGAGCTCATTTTCCCTGTTTGTTTGGTATTTTTTAACTTCACTGAATTTTCTAAAACACACACATATAACTTCTACAGTTAGAAAGCTTTTGTTTGTTTGTCAGCCACAACATAGACAAAAATTAAATAAAGAAGAAAAAAAAATCCACAACCAAAAGTGAGGTGTGCAGGGAGCAGCTTGCTTTGGCCCCAGCAGAGCAGCGGGCAGGTAGAAGGCAAAGACACGGGCACACACACTATAGCAGCATCACCCGCCCATCACTCTCCCTGCCACAGTCTTCACTCACTTGGCCCACAGCGGTCATCTCTACTCACCATGTAAAGACTTTACGGGTCTTCCTACTTTGACTGGCTTTACTGGGTCATACGCCTGGCTCCACTCTTCTTTGCCCAGAAGGCTTTGTTCGGAGGCTTTTTTCTTATTTGAAATTAAATGTTTCACTTCGTCTAGAACGTAGGATAAAAAAAAGAATCATTGATTCAATCAACCCGGAGAAGTCTTACTGAATGCCTACTATGACTCTGCGGGTGTTGGAGATGGAGGAATGGGGAAGAGAGGTCAGGCTCCAGGCTTCCTGGAGTTGGTGCCTAGGGGGCTGCTTCAAAATACCAGAGACTCAAACCTCAATTGGCAATGGCTTCTTCCAAGTAAGACCTCTAAATACCAAGATATTGGGAATGGGAACGTAGGATGAGGGCATGTGACAGAGGGTAGGAGAGGCTGGGAGAAGATCTATGGGGGGGGGGGGGAAGGAGATATATGTACTACTATACATAATACTTTAAACAATAAAATAAAAAAGTAAAAAAATAAACAAAATAATAAAAATAAATTTTAAAAAGACCTCTAAGTACTTGACATATATTATCCCATGTAATCATCACAGTTCACTTGAAGGAAAGCATTGCCCCTCCCCCATTTCACAGATGACATTCAGGTAACTGTCCCAGTGCTGAGAACTGGCCTTAGCAAAGTCAGGGCTACACCCTGAGCATTTGTCCCCAGAGTGGAGATGACCTTTCATGCATGTCGGTCACTTCTTTTAAAGTGGGGCTTGGCTTACCCATGGCAGCGGCCAGCATGTGTGGAATGATGAGTGCACAGAGGAAGTGAATGAATGAGTGGAGATGATGGAAGCTACAAGCAGGAAGTGGGGACAAGGAAGTGACATTGGGTTGTGCAGGAGGATAGATAAAGCTTTTGGAGAAAGACACGAGGCTCAGGGCCTCCTGCCTATACCAAATGCCTGAAGGCTGGCCCTGCCATGAGGAAAAGCCTTCAAGGCCCAGGGGATGGACCAGGTATGATATGGAAGAGGCAATGAGAAAGGAGCCTTGGAGAACTAATTATAAGGTGCCTTCAAGGCTGGTCTCAGAAATCAGACTTGTTCTCCCTTGAGTCACTGGGAAACCATAAAAATTGCAGAGCAATGAAGTGCCAGGGTAAAGGGTGATGTTGAAGGATCATGGAACAATGACAGAACAAAGAGAGGAGGCAGGAATAGAGCTGGGTGTGCAGAGAAGAGCTAGCCGAGGAAGAGAGTTCAAAGAATATCACACAGGCAGGGACACCAACGAGGTGTTGGTGGGCTGGTAGCCAAGAGTTGAGGACATAGCAAGAGTTAACTATGACTTGGGGTGGGGAGGGAAGGCGCTTCAAGAATGAGGTAATTTTTTATCCAATAAGGAGACACCCAGAGATGGAGCAGATTTTATAGAAGAAAAATGCTAACTCTTGGCTGGCATGCTCCATTCAACAGCAGCAGACGGAAAGCTAACAAATTCTGGCATGTGACCTACACTGTACTGAGATAAATTGCATATCTCCTGGATAACAAACCTCATATGGTAGTTCTGCACTCCCACAACACAAGAGTTTCCAGAAGAAAGTTTTTAAGTGATGGAAGGCAGGACTTAAGGCAACATGTGTAGTAGAGTCATTTTTGTTAGCATGTTGTACTCACATAGAAGGTGACGAGGAAATGCTAGCAGTGGCTATCTGTGGTCAGGCATCAGATGACCTTAAATTTCTTCTTCTCTGAGCTAGTCCATTTCTCAATTGTTTTACAAAGCAAACATACACTGACTTTTGTAATAGAAAAAAAATAGCTAAACGTAAGATGCAGATGATGCTAAGCTTGGGACAAGGTTGGAAGAAAGGCAGGTGTTCTTACTTCAAGGACACTAAGCACAGAGCCTGTGGCCCCCCCTGGCAGGGCCCACAACACCCTTCCTCCTACATTTTCTGGCCAGCTGACTCCATTTACCCTCCAAACCGTGGTTTCCATGGCCCCTTCTGCAGGAAGCCTTCTTCATACATTGGCCCCGGGAACTGTGCTCCAACGTGAGCCCCCTACGGGGCAGATTTTTGTCAGAAATTCTGCTCCGCAGCTCTGGGACTGGGCTGGAACCTACCCTTCAGGCTGCACTCTCAGTGCACCACATTTAAAAAAATAAAAAATATATATTTTATTATTTTTTTTTTTTTTCAAAGAGGCAGGGAGAGGGATAGAGAGCTAAAAACATTGATGAGAGAGAAACATCAATCAACTGCCTCCTGCACACTCCACACTGGGGTTGTGCCCGCAACCAATGTACATGCCCTTGACTGGAATTGAACCTGAGACCCCTCAGTCTGCAGGCCGACCCTCTATCCACTGAGCCAAACCGGTTTCAGCTAGACCCCACATTTTGCAGCTTAGTGGGTAGAGAGTCAGGGTGCCAGGTTTGATTCTGGTCAAGGGTACATGCCTGAGTTGTAGGTTTGATCCCCAGTGGAGGCATGCAGGAGGCAGCTGACCAGTGATTCTCCCTCATCATTGATGTTTCTATCTCTCTTTCCCTCTCCTTTCCTCTCTGAAATCAATCCATAATAATACAAACATAATATGCTAATTAGATCGGACATTCTTCCAGAAGACCTTCTGGATGAAGCCTGGGCTGGGAGGGAAGCCCAGGTCTCAGCTGCCAGAGGGAAGTTGGTGCCAGCAGCGGGGGAAGGAAGGCCTACTCTTGCATGAATTTCGTGCACCAGACCTCTAGTGTGTGTGTGTGTGTGTGTGTGTGTGTGTGTGTGTGTACTCAAGGTGGTAGAGGTGGAGGTGGTGGCTGATGTGCCTGCACACAGACAGCAGGAGGCACTTCCACAGCCGAGGACATTGGAGGGATGACATATCACTGACACAGAAACCAGTGTGGGCCCAGGAAAATGAGGTCCAGGGGACGCAGGCTTTTCTCCTGTTACTGTTGAGAAGCCACAACCCCTAGAAACATTTAAAACAAAACACGGATTCCCTGACTCACCAAAAGATCCTCCATCTTCTGAGAAGGTAGAAGTCTTCATTTGATAAAACCTAAGTTTTTTGGAAATCCTGTCCGTAGTGTCCCAGAGCTTCAAGGTTATTTTGTGAAAATTGATTTTCTTGAGTAATTCCTTAGTCATGTTGATATTAAATATTTGGGTCCATGACACCCAGACTTTGTTTCCTTCCTGACATGGCTTCATGGTCTGTATAGAAAAATACCAAGAGGCTTTTCGTGTGAGGATCAGCAGCCCGGAGGATCCACCTCTGCCAGCTTTGACCCACGGATAGGGAGGCCAGGTCCTGCTCTCCCCCTGTCTGGCCTCTGTGTCTGGCTCTTTCCCAGCTTCCAAGTCACACCAGGAAATGGGTGTCATGGGCTTGGCCCTGTCACACTTCTGGGCTCCTTGGGAAAAAAATTAAGTTTAAAAAATTACCTACAAAAGAGTGTCCTTTCCAGTAACTCCAATCCCAGCTGGACCACAGGCAGGAGTGTGTGTGTGTGTGTGTGTGTGTGTGTGTGTGTGTGTGTGTGCGCGCGCGCGCGCACGCGCGTGTGTGTGCAGGCAGGATTTCACAAAGTAAGAAATTGCAAGAGCTATGAAAACATTTGAAACATCAAAGAAAGTATGAGGTAAAAATATCTAAAGAAAAAACCACGTAATGAGTATTATGAGGTCAATGTAGATTCTCATTCAGTAGGTCTGAAGCAGGGCCCAAGATCCTACATTTTTAGCAGCTTCCAGGGGAAGCAAGTACACTTTGTGTAGTATTAGGCTGTATGCTATATGGGAGGCTACGCACGCACGCACGCACGCACGCACGCACGCACGCACGCACACCTTTACTCCAGAATCCGTGAACAATTTGACCACCGATGGAAACACCACCATGTCAATGATTTTAGGCTCTCTATCCTCTGGCAGAAGGAAATACTCAATGTGGTAGATACGATGACCCATTGCAACAGGTTTCTCCACTTTAGAGCGTTTCGTGCGTTTTCCGGCCAAAGTTGTGTATTTTCTGTTTGGACCTAGAAGATACAGATTTAATGAGTCTTGTTTTAGCCCTGCAGTTCCCACACCACCCGCCTGGCCGGGGGTGGGGGTGGGGGGTGGCGCGCTAAGATGCAGGTTCCACCCTCCCAGCCAGCAGAGTGGCAGGCTACTCTGGACCAGGACGAGGCACAAGGGTGCACGATTTCAGTGCATGACCCTGTGAGGAATTGTCTCCTTATATCAGTAGTCGGCAAACTCATTAGGCAGCACAGCCACATATCAACACTACAACAATTGAAATTTCTTTTGAGAGCCAAATTTTTTAAACTTAAACTATATAGGTAGGAACATTGTTATTAACTTAATTAGGGTACTCCTAAGCCGGCCTTTGCTGAAAATGTGGTATTTTGTGGAAGAGCCACACTCCAGGGGCCAAAGAACCGCTTGTGGCTCCCGAGCCAAGGTTTGCCAAACACTGCCTTATATTTTTTCACCATAGGCACTTCACCTGCCTCACCCTAGCCTTGGCAGTAAACCAAACCACAAATCACAGCACCATCTGATTTGTGCAACCCTGGCAGTCTAAGTCAGGTTCTGAAGAGCAGCAGAGGAGGTCGGGGTGAACTCGGCCTGGTGGTGGGGGAAGCCCCTGAGGGGACCTCGGCAGAATCTGGTAGAAGGAAAGCTGGCAGGCATTGCAGGTGGAGGGCAGAGCCCAGCAAAACCTCATGCGTGCAGCTGCACAGCGTGGGGGTGGGTGAGGAAAGGATGCAGAAAGTAAGGATGGGCTTCAGCCAGAGATCAGGGCCTCCACTGCCTGCTCTTGCCATGAAACGGGATCCTCCAGGCTGGCGCTTGGCACACCAGAAGAAGTGGCTTTAGAAGCCCCTAAAATATATAATCCAAATTTCATCCTATAAAAACATGATGACTATATTTAAAGCTGAAGTTTTTTGTTGTTGTTTTGAATTTGTTTTTTGTTTGTTTTTTACACTCAGGAGAAGCCAGAAGACTGCTTCTGTATTAATTTTGTGCCACCAGCAGAGTTAGCTTTTATGCAGCGCTTGGAACAAAGCTTGGTAGGCAGTAGACTTGCTTGGGCAGGTGCAACTAATCAGAAAGCTTGCTGCATTTCACAGGTTCATGTCCTGATTCAATCCAAGGATATATGGACCCTCCCATCAACGGAAGAAAACAGTGCTACAACCCCGTTGGTGGGAAATGGGACAGTACCTATAAAAAATGTAAATGCCTACAGTAAGTCCTCAATATCATTGATAGGTTCTGGACTTTAAATAAAACCACATACAATGAGACCAATTTTACCACAGGCTAAGAGATCAAAGCAAGAGTTAAGGTTTTACGGCATCTCATCAATGTTGTAATGAAATGACGTTGAACAAAACAACATTATTCAAGGACTCCTTGTACCTTAAGCCCAGCAATTCCACTTCTTGAAATTCAGGCTACAGAAGTGCCCACACACCTGAACAGAGGTGCACACAAGGAGGGCTACTGCAGGATTGTAACAGAAAACATTTGCAAACAAATGTTCACCAATAAAGGGTAGGATAACTTAGAAACATACTATTAGGTGTTTCAAACAAAATATCAGAAAAGTAAAAACAAGTACACTCATTTCCTCCATGGTCAGCAAACTCATTAGTCAACAGAGCCAAATATCCACAGTACAATGATTGAAATTTCTCTTGAGAGCCAATTTTTTTAAATTAAAACTTCTCCTAATGCCACTTCTTCAAAATAGACTCGCCCAGACTGTGGTATTTTGTGGGAGAGCCACACTCAAGGGGCCAAAGAGCCGTAGGTGGCTCACAAGCTGCAGTTTGCCGACCATGGCTTTAAGACATTGTCAATTTTTTTTAAAGCAAATTTTAGAAAAGTATTGTAGCATCTCAGTTCTCTTAAAAATAATTTGTATAAATGAAAATTATAAACAAATTCATAAATACTCAGATATTGAAAGGAAAAATATCAAACCTAGAATTTTATATCCAGCCAAGGACAAAGGCACATCCTTCAAGGGGTGGATATAAGACTCTACAATACAAAATAAATGAACAAACAAACCACAAATAAATTCCTAGATACAGAGAACAAATTGATGGGCACCAGATGGGAGGAAGATGAGTGAAAAAAGATAAAAGGAACTAAGTACAAATGGCCAGTTGTAAAGCTAGTCATCACTGACTGTACTGCCCATTGGCTATACAGTATAGGAAATAGAGTCAGTAACACTGGAATAATGATGCATGGTGTCAGATAGGTGCTAGATTTATCATGGTGGTCACTGTCTACTCTAAGGTATATAAATGTCTGATCACTCCGTTCTACCCTTGAATCTAATGTACTATTGCATGTCAGGAGTAACTGGAAAAACAAATTAATATAAAAGACTCTCAGACATGCAAGACCTCAGAAATTTTTGCCGCATAGAGATCTGCTTTGCAAATGTCTTTCGAAGAAGCACCCAAATAAGAAAAACCAAGGCTAGAAGATGCTGCAGGAGATGTGAGGTTGAAGGTGATCAATAAACACCGATTTTCTTTCAGTTGGTATTTGCCACCAGTCTTTTCCGGGCTCTTTTTGCTTTGCTTGATATCAATAGGCCCAAGATAAAAAGCATCATTATGGATAGAGGAGGTCATCACATTAGAACAGAAAGTTCAGTTCACCAAGAAGATCTATCAGTTCTAAACATGGTAGACATCTAAGCAAGTAGCCGCCAAAATAGCTGAAGCCCACAGTTGACAGCTATAAAGAGAAGCAGAAATTAATCATCATGGCGGGGGGGAGGGGGGCACGCGCAGTCTACTTGATGTAGACAAAAACAAAAAGGGTATTTAAAAGCGGAGTACAGCCGAAACTGGTTTGGCTCAGTGGATAGAGCGTCAGCCTGCAGACTGAAGGGTCCCAGGTTCGATTCCCGTCAAGGGCATGTAAATTGGTTGCGGGCACATCCCCAGTGGGAGTGTGCAGGAGGCAGCTGGTCAATGGTTCTCTCTCATCGATGTTTCTAGCTCTCTATCCCTCTCCCTTCCTCTCTGTGAAAAATCAATAAAATACATTAAAAAAAAAAAAAGTGGAGTACTTCTTTCCTGCCCCTCATCTTGGAATTTAACCAGGTGACTTGCTCCGACCAATAAAATGTTAGCAGGTGGAAGGAGCCAGAAGACTGAGTGCTCAGTGACTGGGCTGGCCCTCTGCTCTTCCATAATATGAATGTGTCTGGATCAGCCCACGAGCCCAGGAGAGTGACAGACATGGGAAGCACAGCTGAGCCACTGCAGGGAGCTCAGCCTGGTCATAGGCTGCTACCCTGTGACCCAGAAGAACAAGTGGTTTCAGGGTGAAGCCAATGGATTGGGGAGCTTGTTTGGGTTAGTTACACAGCACTGTGGCCATAGGAGTTCATCAATATACCCTTCCACTCGGAGATTCACACACCCGAGAACCTGCACTTTAAATAAGGAAACTAGGTGACGCCCAAGGCCTTAACCTCACTGTCATTTCTTCATCTGCAAAAAGCAGATACAACACCATCTACATCTTAGGGTTATTGCATGGGTTAAGTATGTGAAGCCCCCACAGCCACTGTGGACCTCCTAAAATTGCACCTTCTTTCCTGACCTTTGCTCCTGGAACCCACCACCCCTACTTGGGAGAGCAGGGAGGGAGTATGGGTATCCTAACCTCCTGGCAGAAGGCCATTAGTCCAACTCTTTTTTAATTTATTTTTTCCATTTTTTTCTTTATTGATTAAGGCATTACATATGTGTCCTTATCCTCCCATTACCACCCCACCCGGCCCCACTCATGCCCTCACCCCCCTGGTGTCTGTGTCCATTGGTTAGGCTCCTGTGCATGCAGACAAGTCCTTTTCCCCTCACCCCCACCCTCCCCTGACTTCCCTCTGAGGTTTGAGGGTCTGACGGATGCTTTTGACAAAGAGTGTTGGAATTCTGCTCCAGCGCTTACCAACAGCCCCTGGGAAGGCCATGGAGATGATGAATTTGCAGGGGACCACGTGGGGCACATCGGCGTTTAAAGTGCTGCTGGACGCGGTGCTGCTGTACAGATGTTCAGACTCCGAGCCCGTGGCCCGGGTCCTGGCCATGTACTCCTCCACACCCACCTCGCTGATGGACTGGCAAAAGCTGCCCAGGGAGGATATGGGCCTCATGCTCTCCAGGTCCTCATCGTCCCAGTCCCAGGCTTGCAGCGCCATGCTTGCTGCTGAGTGCTGCCCGCCCTGGCCCACCTGGCTGGAAGGAAAAAGAAAGGCACCTGAGTAGCCGCCCTCTGTTCCCAGGAGGTTAGCCACCCTCCCTCCTCCCTTCCCTTGTCCTTTTCAGCGTTGGATGGCTAAGGCCTCAATCACAGATGGGAGTAGAGTAGGCACTCAATAAAGTTAGACAGTGAATGGCTGAACCACAGAGGAGGGTCCTGGCAGTCTTTTTTTTTTTTTTTTTTTTTTTTTTTTTTTTTTTTTTTTTTTTTTTTTTATCATAAGCAGCACTGGGTTCTCCAACTTGAGTCCCTGACCTCCCCCAGCCCTGGCTGCATTGATTTGGCACTTCTGGAATGCCCACACCAGGAAAATGCATTCACCAGGAGCCACAAGGGGTGGGAGCAGAATCCCCGCCCTGCTTCCATCCAGGGGGGCCTGGGGTGAGCTGCAAACCAGGCCCCAGGGCAGCATGTGCAAGTGCCTGGCAGGGAAAGACCTGGGAGAACCTCGAGGCAAGACACAAATGGGCTTTGAGGTGGGGGCTCAAGACACAAGGAAGCCAAACCCGCTAAAGTTAAGGAAAGGATGCAGCCTGGAGCAGGGGTTGGGGATGGGTGGAAAACATGGTCCCCTCAAGGCACCCAGAGTACCTTCGATCAGATGCAGAGACAGCAACTCAAGCTCAGGCCCTGGTGTCAGTCAGCACGCGCAGCCATTGCGCAGCCTCCTGAGTGAGGAGGCCTGGGAGACAGGCTGGTCCACTGTGTTTGACAGTTGCTAGGAGACGGGGTGAACAAAGGGGGGCGGGGACTGCTCCGCTGGGGGCGGGGCTTCCTGCCTCAGCCACTGGACTCAGACTCCTTGTACAGCAGACAGGGTTTGGCAAAGACTGGTAGGTGTATGCAAATTCGGAAGCCAGTTGGTTGAATCATGCATCCGCTCATTCATGCAATCCTTAAAAAATTCCTACGCAGAACGTGAGCGCCTATAATGCACCTGACCCTTACAGGATGGGATGAAGGCAAAGGAACCAATGGGCTCTGCAAACTCGGGTCCCCCATCCCATCTCAAACCTCGCACACAGACTTGGCATTCTGTCGCTGATGTCTTTAAAGGTGCGTGAAAATTCTGTTAGTGCTTGTGAGTCCAACCCAGAGGCGAGGAAACTGAGGGTTAGAGAGGTGCAGCGATTGGCCGGAGGTCACACAAGGCGTGTGTGGCCGCAGGGGGTTGAAATTCAGACCATATGACTCCAAAGCCCGGGCTCAGCTGTAAAATGCCCTCTCCCAACCCCACTGCCACTTTGGCCACCCCTCTCCCCTGCTGCTGAGAGCCTGGCAGATGTTCTCTATGTGGAAGGCCCAGAGGGATGAATACACATGGCAAATTCAGGCAAGGGATGATGAGGCTGGAGTGGTGGGCAGGGCCCCTGGTACATAGCTGTGGAGGGCAGGCAGGGCATAAGACTGTGGACAACAGAGAGTCACATTAGGTTTTCTGGTCAGAGAGAGTAGCACCATTCAACAGTAGTTTGTTGAAGAGAATGAGAGCCTTGTCCTGTTCAGAGTTGAATGGCTAAGGCCTTACTAAGGTGTGGCTCAGTGGTTGAGCGTCGACCTATGAACCTAGAGGTCACAGTTCGGTTCCCAGTCAGGGCACCTGCCTGGGCTGCCGACTCCATCCCCAGGAGGACAATGATTCTCTCTCATCATTGATGCTTCTATTTCTCTCCCTCTTCCTTCCTTTCTGAAGTCAATCAAAATATATTGAGAGAGAGAGAGAGAGAGAGAGAGAGAGAGAGAGAGAGAGAGAATGAGAGCTGACAGTCCACACGTACTTAACTCTTGGGAAAACTGTGGCTTTGCCCTGAGATATGTCCGACTTGATCCATGGTCAAAGAGTAAAACTGTGGCATAGCTCCAGCTGGAGCCCAGGTCCCCTGCCTTCCCATGCTCACCTTCCTAGATCAGCTCCTTCCAGAATACTGCCCACTGACTGGGGCCCTCCATATTGCTCAGGTTCAATCAATCTAAGAAAAACCCAGACCTTAAACTCTCACCACCGAATGCCATGCTGTAAGGTACCACCAGCAGCCTGGAGATTACCATCTACATATGTAAAGAGATGCACAGAGGGTCCTAGGAAAAAAAGGCACTAGGATACAGCAGCTTCCCAAAGGCCCGCTAACAAGGGAAGGCCAGTAATACCTGGGGCAGGCCACAGGCATCCTGCTAGTCAGGTCCCACCTGCTGGCCTGCGGCTGGTTTCCCTCCTAAGGGTCCTCACTCACATGATCACCGAGGGCAGCAGCCGGTCTCTCCAGCATCTCCTGATGGGACAGCCCTAAGCTCGGATGGAGAGGCCATAGATCTGGGAAAAGGGCCAATGCCAGGTACTGGGAATGCATCAGAATCATCCAGGAACATTTCAGAACTTTACTTCTGAGGCTTCCCTCCAGTCCTGAGGAATTGATTATCCAGGGCTGGGCCTTAGGACCTGGTAACGGATGGTTTTTCAAAGACAGCCACCTCAATATATGTCCTCCCTCGTGTTCTTACACTGCCATGTCAACAGGCCTTCTATCTGGTGGTGGGTGTAGTCTTCTCTCCTTGAACTCAGACTGACTTAGTAACCACCTCAGCCAACAGAGTCTGGTGAAAAGGACACTACGTGGCTTCAAAGGCCAGGTAAGACAACTACCATGTACAGTTACGTCCTCATTTGACATCATTAGTAAGTTTTGTGACTTTAAGTGGAAGGAAATACAACAAAAACAATTTTATCATGGGCGAACTGACACAAACAGCAATTAAGTTCCTATGGCATAGCATTGACGTTATAAGGAAATGGCATGGAACAAAATGACATCATTTGAAGACCGGCTCTAATTTTGCCTTGTTCTTTTGGGGTCACTCATCCTAGAAAATCCAGCCACCAGCTGGAGAGGGAGCACAGACAGCCACATGGAAAAGACACACACATGTAGATGTTCTGGGCAACAATGCCAGACTTCAAATGACCCCAGTCTTTGAGCCACTCCAGCTGAACCTTGTGTAGCAGAAACCAGCTGCCTCAACCAAGCCCTCCCCAAGTTGCATAATTATGAGCAAAGTACACTATTGTTGTTTTAAGCTGCTAAGTTTGGGGGTGATCTCTTGCATAAAAATAAATAACGGGAACAAAACTCATATGTTTTAAAGTTACCGCCAAGATTTTATTGCACAGCTAAGATTTGGAACCGCTGCCCAGAGAGAGATGGTGTCCAGATCAAGACCCAGAGCATCATGTGAGGGAATGAGGGCAGAGGTAAGAAATGGGCCCATAACCTCACCTTAGCAAAGGGGCCTTGTTAATGGGCCCTCTGGATGGGTTCCCACTGGTGTTGCCTGGGCTTGCCCACTGGCCTGTACTCATCTGGAGGGTCAGCAGGGCTGGAAGGCCCAAAATGGCATCACACAAATGTCTTGCAGTTGGTGCCATTGCCTGGGGGCACCTCATTTACCCTCCATGCGGCCCTCGACCCTCCCCGAGGCTGAACTGTTTGCCTCATGTGGCATTCTCAGGGCAGGGATCCATGAGGGCAAAGACAGAAGCTGCAAGGCCTCTTAATACCTAGACTTGTAAGTGGCACAGCGCATGTCACCATCCCCACCTTCAAGAAACTCTGGGGTCCCCCCTGGAAGTGGCCGGGCGGAGCCCCTGGAGGAGAGACACGAGGTGGCAATGGAGCCCAGCGGCCTGGGCACGGAGGCCGGCATGGTGGGCGCTGCAGGTGACTTGTACTGGCGACTTGCGTGGCGCATGCACAGGCTACTGAGCGCCCTGGAGCACCATCACTGGCTGGGCTGGGGCGTGAAGAAGGAGATGGCAGTGTTGGCCAAGGGCCTAGAGAGATGGTCTTCCATCACCTGGGCTGCCAGAGGCCCCTCAGACGTTCACACTTTGCTAGGGACGCTTCCCTTCAAGACCGCCAGGAATGCGGCCGCTGGGGTAGCCACCGAGGGGGCCACAGATGTTGAGGAGGAGAAAGCCTGGCTCATGTGGAGTGGAGGCTGAGAAGTCTTACCATCAGTCCTTCACATGCAGAGAACCAGGAAAGTGGGCAGCATAGTTAAGCCTGCACCCAGAGGCCTTCGAATTGGGCTTGGATGGGGCTGGTGTTAAGTCCTAAGGCCCAAGAACCAAGAGCTCTGACGTCTGAAAGCAAGAGAAATGAACATTCCAGCTCCAGAAGAGAGAGCCAACTACTTGCCCTCCCTCTTCCTTTTCATTCTGTTCAGACTCTCAATGGATTGGAGGATGCCCACCCACATTTCTGGGGGTGGACCTTCTTTTCTTAGTTGCTAAATTAAAGCTAATGTTTTTTTTTCTGAGACACTTCACAGACACATCTAGAAATAATGTTTTACCAGCTCCCTGGTGATCCCTTGGCACAGACAAGCTAACGTATAAAATTAACCATCACATGGTCCATTTGAGGAATCCATCTGTCCATCATTAAAAGGATAACACTTTTTTTTTTTTTTTGAGGATCGCCTCAGTATAGTGAGATTTTAAAAGGTTCAAATACGGGGCGAAATACCATTTGAAAGGGTGCTTCAGTGTCTTATCTCTTGATCTCATCATCATTTTGAACTTCTGTTTTTGTTAATGCTTCTCATCTCTCTACACAAGCATGTCAAACTCAAAGGGCCAAATAAACAAGGTTTAAGTTTATGGAGGCTGCAAAAAAACACACAGAAGCTTCAATTTTCATAGAAATGTAGTTTTATTTCAATAGAGACATGCTAAATACAAAGGGCTGAAATGAGTAATTGTTAACATAAATAGGATTTAATATTAATTAAATTATTAATAAAAATTAATATTTTTCTTGAACATTAACTTATCAGACACTGAATAACTGCACAAATTAATAAGAGTAATGCAAATAAACCTATTTTTCTTGTTCTCCGAAACATTTCCTGTTGCGCACACCACACAAGTCAATCCAAGACTAATGATGTGGCAATAGGCTGCTAAAATA